TTATTTATTTATTTTTCCCCCGAAGCCCCAGTAGACAGCTGCATGTCGTAGTTGCACATCCATTCCAGTTGCTGTATGTGGGACACGGCCTCAGCATGGCCGGAGAAGCGGTGCGTCGGTGCTCGCCTGGGATCCGAACCCGGGCCGCCAGCAGCGGAGCGCGAGCACTTAACCGCTAAGCCACGGGGCCGGCCCCACAGAGAGCTTTTACGGTGTGTGGAGCACTTTTCACACATGTGAGCTCTTATCCCTCGGTCACTGTGTACACGGGGTATTATTACTACCACGGATTTGACGGTTCAAGCACCTGCACTTTAGGAAGGATGGGCACTGCTCCAGCTCACGCAGGAAGGGGTGCAGAGCTGTACTGGGCGTCTTCTGGGGGCTTCGCTCTTGGCTTCAGCGGAAAGTTTACAGTGGCCCTTTTGATGTCAGCTCTCACTGTTCGTGTGTGTTCAGCTTCCTGGAGTGATTACTCCACTTGTGGTTTCCCAGAGCTTTCTAGAATCTATCTCCATTCCCTCGTTATGCCGATTTCATGGAGGAATTTCCAAAAATTCATTGTTTGTTGGGAGAAGTGGTCCTGAAGGGCAGCTGGCAGATGACCAGAGGGCCTGGTCACGAGCAAGCAGGTGTAGGTAAGGGCCGCCTGGCCATGTTGCCCACCGTACCGAGTCCTGGAGCCCCCTGGCCCAGTGCAGAGGGGGCTCCACTGTGGGGGTGGGGGCAGCAGGGACAAGCTGAGGGAGTGTTTCTGAAATGCTCGTTAATTTTAAAGTTTAGGACAGTTTTTTTCCTTTTAGGATTGTTTGTGGAAGCAGTTATTGTGATTGTCAAAAGAACAATTCTCCTAGTAAAATAACTGAGCCACCTAGGTGTGTAATGTAGGTAATGAATGACCCCATGGTCGTGTTCTGTAGGGTTACATACATTGTCTGCCCAGGCATGTGTAGACAGTCATTTAAAAGTTAAAAAAGAGGGGAAGTTCAACCACACACTTGGTTTTAACTGCTTTTTAGTTGGAGAGCTCAGTTTGTTGCATTTAACATAAGCTTTATGTCAGCAGTGACACACAGGCTCAGAGTCAGAAGTGGAGGAAGCAGAGAGGGGACGAGCAGACGCCTGCTGAGTGTGTGTGCGTGTGCATGCATGCACGCATATCCACACACAGAGACAGAAGCACACACATAAATATGCGTGCAGTCACACGCGCACACATTACTGGAGAGCAGTGGTTTCAAGCTTCACCTTGCTTCTCTGGAAGGATTATTAAAATGCACATCACCAGACCCCGCCCCAGAGTCTCTCATTCTGTAGATTTGGGGCAGGACCCAGAATTTGCTTTTCTAACAAGTTCCTGGTGATGCTGCTGATGAGAGGACTTCACTGAGAAGCCAACCCTGCTTAGGAGAATCGTCACCATTACTAAATTAATAAAGCCCTCCTGATTCTCCCTACAGAGCGGGAATTAATTCAAGGAGAAAAGCAGCCCCTGCGATTTGTGGGTAGGACCTAGAATGTGGGGCTCATATTTGACATGACTGTTGGTTTCCTGACCATCTGTTGGGGTCGCACAGCCCCTTACTTTCTGCTCTTCTGTTGCCCCGGAGGATGACGGTCCCTGAGGAGCCCGCAGTTGCATGTAAACAGTGTGTGTAAACGTCTTCCCTCTTCCGATTGGATCATTTCTAATATTTGTTTTCAAGCTCACTCCCTTTTTTGTCTGGAGTATTCAATATGTTGTTAATTCCATGCAATGAGTTTTTCATTTCAGTTATTGTGTTTTTAGTTCTAGAATTTCAGTTTGGCTCTTTTTTAACTTTTTAATTTCTCTGCCAAGATTCACCTTTGTTGGAAAGGGGACCTTCTCTTTTACCCTCTCTTAGCTGGGTAAGCGTGCCATCTTTTTCTGGTTGTGTGGCTAAGAAATCGGGGAATTGATCTGACTGCTTGAATATGGATTGTGAAATATTCCCCCTTAACCTAGACCAGCGTTGTGCAGTAGAAGTCTAATATGACCACATAGGTAATTTTAAATTTTCTAGCAGTTTCATTAAAAATTAGAAAGATATAGATGAATTTTATTAAGACTTTATTTAACTCTATATACCAAATATACTCATATTTCAACATGTAATCAACATACAAGCTTATTACGTAATGATATATTTAAATTCCATTTTTCATACGAGGTCGTTGAGATCTGTTGTGCATCTTCCACCGGCCCCACATCTTGATTAGGACTGGCGACCCTGCAGGCGCTCGGAGCCAGGTGTGCGGGGCTGCTGTGTCTGGGGCACCTCCCTCTCCATCACTCCCAGAGTTTGGCAGCACCGATTTCAGACCTGGGGATAGGTTTTGCCACATCACGGAGGTTGGTTTGTAGCGCTGTCTGCAGCCTGCTCAGGTCGAATTCTAAGTTGCCAAATCCTTGGTCGTTGGTTTGCTTTCCAGTTTCCAAATTGGTTTTGCCATCGTCTCCCCTCTGTCACTTGAGTATGGATTTGTAGAGAACAGGAGCCAGAAGCCGTGTGTGTTCAAGCCACGGTCTTTACTCTGGATTCGAAACTTGATTTCTTGACTAGATAATGTCCCGATTGGTATCTGCTGTGTGTAGTGTGTGTCACGGCATTCCAGAAGGTTTTCTCTGGTGTTTGCTCCGGGCTCATCTGTTCAGATTCTCTGAAACCCCACGCTGCACGTGAGGTCAGAGAGCTTCTTCCAGTCATTTGGGTTCACGGTGCAGCCTAGCTGGCCAGAATTCTTTCCTCGTTAACTGATCCACATTTCACACGTTAGAAATCTGCATCCACTGCCCCTCCTTCAATGACCCTGATTTTCCACACCTCTCCAAGTGGAACCACTTGCAATATTCTGAATATGAATATAAATTAAATTCTCATTTGCTTAAAAACAGACGTGTCAGTGCAGGGGGAGGAGTGTTCTGGGGAGAGCATGGAGGGCACAGAAATCATCAAAGAGAGTGAACCCAGGTGAGGGCTCATGGGGGCAAGCTCTGGGCAGATAGTGACTGGCTGCCTGGGTGGGCAGAAGGGAAAATGACCTCCCCTACCCGAAAACTTAACCCAAAGCAAGGAAGCAAATGACAGAATGTACCACATTTCACTTGCTGACTCTACGCCAAACACAACTAATTTTAGTGACTCAAACAAATACTTTTTCAGAAACCTCTGATTGTACCATAAACTAGAACCAATTCTATAAATTATTTACAATTACTAAATTGTCTCAAAATAATCAGATCCCTGAAAAGATTATGAACAGTTTTAAAAGAGCTCAATAGGGGCCGGCCGGTGGCGCAGCGGTTAAGTGCACGCTGTCCGCTGCGGCGGCCTCGGGATCACAGATTTGGATCCCGGGCATGCACCGACGCACGGCTTGTCAAGCCATGCTGTGGCGGGGTCCCATATAAAGTAGAGGAAGGTGGGCCCAGATGTTAGCCCAGGGCCAATCTTCCTCAGCAAAAAGAGGAGGATTGACATCAGATGTTAGCTCAGGGCTAATTTTCCTCACAAAAAAAAAAAAAACAAGCTCAATAAATGTCATAAGAGAAACATCCATTCATGATTTGGACCAAATGTTGCCCAGGATCCCTGTATTAGTTTCCACAACAAAGCATCACACACTGGGGGCTTAAACAGAAATGTATTGTCTCTCAGTTCTAGAAGCTGGAAGTCCGAGATCAAGGGGTCAGCAGGGTTGGCCCCTTCTGAGGCTGCGAGGGAAAGTCTGTTCCAGGCGTCTCCCACAGTCTCTGGTGGTTTTCGGCAATCCTTGGCATTTCTTGGTTTTTGGCAGAATAACTCCAGACTTCACAAGGTTTCTTCTCCCTGTGTGCCTGTCCACAAATTTCTCCTTTTTCTACGCACACCAATCCTGTTGGATTAGGACCCACCCTGATGACCTCATTTAACTTGAGCACCTCTATAAAGACTTATCTCCCAATAAGGTCACATTGGGAGGCGCTGGGAGTAGGACTTCACCATGTGAATTTGGGGGACACAGTTCTACCCGTAATAATCCCTACTGGACTAGTTTAGAAGGAGTTGGACCTGTGAGTAAGGAATTTTCGTTTTTATAAGACTTTTAAAAAGAAAGTGGTCTTTCTGTTTATTTTTTCATTCACTTTCATGCTTGTTAAATTAATAGATTTTAATTCAAGTTGTGAGAGAATAAAAACAGACATCTTTGCACACCTCTGTCCCTGAACTCATGGCCCCCAGGGTCAGAGCACCACCCTCCTCTGGCCCGTGTGGCTACACCACAAGCATCCATGTGCTTCTCCTGCACTGGGCCAGCTGGCGGCTCTGTCTCTGGGTCGATTCTGTCCTGCTCCCTGGTCTCTACTGGGCTGGCTGTTCAGGTCCTCCCTCTGTCCCTGAAAAAATAAATAACTGGTCTACCAGTGCACCATTTAACTCTATTTTAAACACCTGTTTAGAAACGTTAGGTTACAATCCATACATTAGTTATCCTTATTTTCCCAATTCGCATGCTGAGGAAGCTTAGTGGTTTTGAGACATTCAGTCTAAACTTCCTCATTGAGAAAACGTGATAGGTAGGTAGCTGATGAACAACCGAATTCCAGGGCCTGAAGTTACGGGCAGGAGCTCTGATGTGTCTACACAATTGCTCGGCAGGTGGGATTCACCTCCTGAATAGATGCAGGTCGATCCTGTGTTTATTATCTGTTATGACTTACTGACATTTTCTAGTGGGTTGGCAGAAGACGGATGGATAAGTCGTTAAAGTAATTATTGTTTAAACAAATTTCTATAATGTGATATCATTGATCTGTCTTTCAGATAAATATTCATGTAATGCTAGCCTCAGCAAAGAGATTATTCATCCAGGAATAAACTTTGAGATTTAATTTCTTAAATACCTTATCACTGTTTTGAAACTGGATATTTAAAAATGACGCAGAACTAGTGACGACTGCAGATCTCTCTATAAATGCATTTCTTGTTTCTTCACAGGGACCTTCGCTTTAATAGAATCAGAGAGATCCAGCCTGGAGCGTTCAGGAGGCTGAGAAACTTGAATACGTTGTAAGTCCAAACGTTCTATTGGGAACCAGAAGAAAAAAAATAGAGAAGTCATTGCACCGTTACCTGTGGGTGCCTCTCAAATACTGTGGTCAATCCCGATTATCCACAGTCGGTGGCATGAACGAGCAAAGTAAAGGTGGAACCTGAGAAAAGCGGGTGCAGATTAGAACGGATCCCTATGGATCCTGTGCTTGGTGGCCATTCTGGTGTTGTCCCCATCTGTCTGTCTGACATGCATGAACCCCCGTCGTATGTGTGTGTGATCCAGACCATCGGCCGTGTGCTCCCCTTCTCTTCATGTGAGTGACTCAGCCCCTTGTTGGGCTGAGTTCGGTCAGCTGTGCTGGTCTCCCATGGGAGGCTTGAGGGGACGGTACTTCTCCTGAACTGGCGTGGACTCAGGAGGGGTTGGAGGGCCACCCAGTTGTGACCCAGTGTTTAGACCTCAAGACTGGACGAAGGGAACAGGCCTGACCGACTGAGTGGTTCTGCAGTAGACCCCAGCTGCTTTAGAATATACTGAGCACAGTGGGAGGCTGGTTTCTCTGGCTCTTCTACACCAGGACAAAGACTCTTGTATGCAGGGGACTATGCAGGGCAATGGGATCAGGGGCCTGGAGGGCTAGACCACCTGTGGCTCTGCACACCGGTTCCTTCCCTTTGGCTAGAGGACTTACCTTCAGTGACACATCTGGCTAGACACCCTGTGCTTCCTTGATGGCCTTCCAGTGGGGCACAGTCCTGGCTAAAGTAGAAAATCTGACAGCAGAATGAAGGCAGATATTCCTGTCTCCTATACAGATATTGTATAGGAGAGAGGAAACTATTTCTCTCTTGTATACAAAGGTGAAACAGTGTGGGGTGACATGGACATTCATTTCTTGAGAAAACTTATAATCACGAGATTAAACTCTGAAGATGCTATTTGTGTTAATTTAGCATTTAGTGAATGGCGATATTAAGGTCTGTAGCTTAATCATTTTATGACTTTCTCCAAGGCTATAGGAATGTCTTTTCATCACACAATTCAGAAGTGTTGTTGTTGCTGTTTTAATTCTTATTGAAACTTACTTTTGTAGGCTTCTCAACAATAATCAGATCAAGAGCATACCTGGGGGATCGTTTGAAGACTTGGAGAATTTAAAATATCTGTAAGTCAGTGATCATCTCTTTACCCCAAAAGCTTATGTTATCTGTATTTGGACTATTTAATCATTGAGCTAAATTTTGTACTGTTGATGAAGTATTATAAATACATCCATTTAAAGAGGTTTTTTTCAGAAGGTGAGTGAAATTTTGGCTGGGGTTTTTGAAATGAGTTATCGTCAGTATGAAGAGCTACATAAGTGATTTTTAGTGTTTAGCTACTAAGCCTTAAGTAAATCAGGTTGAATAAAATTAAAAGCCATAGCCTCTGAAAAATCGTTCTAGGACTAATAATGACACTTCTTGATATGGAAACTGCCATTATGTTCAGTTGCCAGTGTGAACAGCTGACAGATGTTTCCTGAGAGAGAAGCTTTCAGAACAGTTTTGAGTTGCCTTTGCAGCTGTGGGCAAAATGTAAGGTGTAAATTACAAATCCCTTTGGAATGTCACCAATTCCTGCTAATTTTCTCTGTTTTCCTCCAAGTGATTTCACCTCTTCGTATGTTTATGCAGTTAAGTTTTATTTTACTTTTAAAATTGATTTAATTAATGTATTGGCATTTAAAAGATCTGCTTGTTGAAGTCAGGTTTGCAGTTTAGAAGACGCCCTTCAGGAAAGTGCTGGTTTGATATCTTCACGGCACTTATTTTAAAATTGGGAAGCGTTAAGAAAAACGCTCCGATTACATTCCTGGTTCTAGACAGATTAGAAGTCTGTGTCATGTGCTTTCAGCAAATTATTCTTACTTTTGGAACTTAGATAACTTTTTAACTAGAACCATTTTAATGAGGGATTTATATCAGTGATTTTTATTGAAAATTTATGTTATATATGAACCTGAACATCTTTAAGTTATATTGATTTTTAAAACAAAGTCATATTGTCAGTATTGGTGTGTGTTTTGAAATCTAACTACAGAATTAACTTTAATTCTGTGTATTGAAATGTGTTTTCCTCAATGAAGATATATATTTGAAAGTGTTATGTATAAACATTTTTTCCATCGCTTTTGGCATAGTATGTTGATTTTTAATTCTATAAGAACATTACTAAGCTTTGTTATGCATTTTTAAAATGAGGGACAGGCCTTATATTTAGTCTTTGAGTTTTTATTTTTTTGTTTGCTTTATTATTTTTTTTAATTTTAAGTGCTGTGCAAGTTCCAGAAGAAAGCTTTTGATTTCTTGGACAGCAGATCCCGTTAACTGCCAGCCAGCAGCCATAGTGTGTGTGTGTGTGTATGTGTGTGTTTACTTTGCTTTTTATTTTATATTTTGCTTTTGGTATGAATCACCTAAGAGCAACTTAGTACTCTGCGAATATATTTAATGTGAGGGAGTTTGGGATACCTTGTTTTCCACTTGAGACAATCATCTCTTTTAACTATTGTTTGTAAACCTTGTCTACTGACCAGCTTGCTCTCAAGGCATCCGTGCTCCAGCCTTTTTCCTCTCTCCCACCCAAACATATCCCTGATGCCCACTGGCAGCGGGTACCACAGGCCCCTGGAACCGGCCGAGCAGTGGTCAGCAGTAAAGAAAGGGATGGACTGTGATGAGAAAAGTGCCGAGAAGCAGCGGGGGGGGCTGTGACGGGAAAGACCCCGGGACACCTCACCCAGCCGTTCAGGCTCCCCAGACCCCTCCTCCGATTCCCTCACACCTCAGTGGGAGAGGACATTCTGACAAGCACTGATTTAGGAGACTGTGCAATAGTATAATTTAAGTGTTTAAGAGCTCTTCTGTAGTTTATTGATTTTATCAGTCTTATATATTTGGTCAGTGCCAAAAGTATATCCTTAGAAATTGAATATTCCTTATCTGCTGGAACCTCAATTACTTCTGGTAAGGCATAAACCTTCCTCTTAGTTAATATTTCCTAATGATGAAATTAACATGAGATAGAACTCATATTCAAAGGGTCATTTCTGTGATGAGGTAGAGAATTATTTGCAATTTATTATTAGAAGATGACCAGTACCCAGTTATTCTTATGAAAACAAATTAAGTCCCAATGTCTTTATTGGCATGCATTCAGACATATTAGTTTGGCTCAGTTGCTTTGCATATTCTTTACAAGGATTCCTTTACTTTCATTTTTTTTGAATGCCTGCATAGTCATGTTCCTAGCAATGTTTGGTTTTTGTTTTGTTTTGTTTTTAAGAAATGGACACAGAAACCTCCATTCAGACTTACCTTCTATAGGAATAATAATATCAGTAATAACTCACACCTGAACAGTAGTTACCATGTGCTGGGCTATATTCTGAAGCTTTATGTATATTTATTTAGCTTCAGTCAGCCAGTCCTGGTGGTCTAGTGGTTAAGATTCGGCACTCTCACCACCGTGGCCCCGGTTCGCTTCTCAGTCAGGGAACCACACGACCTGTCTGTCGGTTGTCATACTGTGGCAGCCGTATGCTGCTGTGATGCTGAAAGCTATGCCACTGGTATTTCAAATACCAGCAGGGTGACCCATGGTGGACGGGTTTCAGCGGAGCTGACAGACTAGGAAGAAGCACCTGGCCACCCACTTCCGAAAAAATTGGCCATGAAAACCCTATGAATAGCAGCAGAGCATCGTCTGATACAGTGCTGGAAGGCGAGAGGATGGCAGAAAAGACCAGGCACGGTTCCCTCTGCTGTGCACAGTGTCACTAGGAGTCAGAATCCACTCAATGCCACTAACAACAACAGATTTAATTCCAGTGATCCTATAAGGTACTGCTGTTCTCTCCATTTCACATGGGAAGAAACGGAGGCAGAGGAAGGTTAATGTCTTATTCGAGACCACACCGTGAGTGGCAGTTCAAGGATCCCAGCCCACACACCCTGGCGAAGTAACTACTGTGCCAGGCCTCCGTTGTGGGCACTGGGCTGTGGGTTCTGGGGAAATTCTGGCTGGTCTGTGTCACAGCTCTTTGTGAGGCCATCTCAGCGAACTTGCACAGGGGAGAAGTGAGAACCACTCGGATGGATTGCAGTAATTAGAGACAGCAGAGCAGTCCTGCTAAACTGGGCCCTGAGCCCTGCGCCAAACATTGTTAGTTAAAGTGCAATAAAACGCTTCGTCCTTCTGTAAACGAAGCCTGCAGTATTACAAGCGTTGAGACAAAAAATGTTGTTTAGTTGTTGGAATACAGCTAGGTGAAAACCCTGCTGCTGAGTAACTAACGTGAAGAGAAGCTTCAGCTTAAACAAAATGTAGGAGGGGTGAGGATTTCGATTTGTCCCTTTGCCTGTATCAGTGATGGAGAAACGCCGGGGCTCATGTCTCTGCGTCTGAGTGTGGAAATCATGTGTTTACCACCACGTTCCTGAGGTTCACCAGGATCTGCTGCTGTAGAGATGTGTTAGGAGAGGCATGGTGCTGAGGACAAGTCTTGTTCCAGATAGACGGGTAGATCCAACATGCATGGTTTGTGGTTCTTGTTGGAATTTTCAAATTTTTGTGTGAAAGTCTTCATCCTTGATAAATTCGTTCAGGAGTTGGCTGACTTTTCTGTAAAGGATGGAGCTGTACATATTTGAGGTTTCACAGGCCATACAGTCTTTGTCATGACTACTCAACTCTGCCACGGAGCACAAAATGGGCTGTAGACGATACTAAAAGAGTGGATGTGGCCGCGTGCCAACAAAACTTTACTTATGGACACTGAAATTTGAATTTCGTATAATTTTTATGTCACCAAATATTATTTTTCTTTTGAAATTTTCAAACATTTTTAAAAAATGTAAAAACCATTCTTAGCTCGCAGATCATACAAAAACAGGCAGCAGGCCGGTTGTATGATTCTTCTGACATGCCCTTGTTGCTTCCGCTTTATAAGAGTGGGGTTCTGGGCAGGTGAGAGTCATTCAGGACACATGTAGTCTTTGTATTGTCTGCTTTTCAAATTGCTTCTGGATATTTTAAAACTGTATCAGTTATAGAATCTTATAATCAATGCATATCACATGTTTGCGGGGAAGGATGAGCTGTCAACAACTCGTGAGCCACACTCCAAGAATCTGTGTGTCACACAGCCGAGGTGTGACCACTCCCAGTTTGGGGATTTTCCTTTGAGAGAGGGAAGGGGAGCCCCGGTGGGAGGGACTGTACTTACGGTGTAAATGTTTCTTTTGTATTCTCATGCAATCATTAATTTTAAAACTGTCTCCATGTGTCCACATAGTTCTCCTTCTCTGAACATAGTTCTCTTCGTCTGAAGTTGTGCCTCTCGTGTGCACTAATCCCCCCATGTTTCTTGTTTCAGCTATTTGTACAAGAATGAGATCCAGTCAATTGACAGGCAAGCCTTTAAGGGACTCTCCTCCCTAGAACAACTGTAAGTGTCCCTCTCCCCACCTTTAGGGTCTCGGGTATCACCAGCCCTGTGCCTCCCGTAGGAAAAGTGGCTGTTTGCACGATGCATGTTTGCACTAAGGGGGCGTAGGGAGCATGTGCATGCGAATGGAAGAGCCGTAACTGACTGGTTATTCATCTGTCTTTGGACTCCCGTCCATCCGGTAGGAGATGTTTACTGGTTTCCACTGTGCACCGTACCCTGCGCCCCGCATTCCTGATGCAGAGAACAGTGAGGCTGAGGACTCTTGTCTCTAGGGTGCTCGCAGTTTAAAGGGGAGACAGGCTTGCAAACATATTTGAGCACGTAAAGATCTTTTGGGGAGAAGAACCCAGGGCAGTGTGGGACAAGGAGGTGGTCTTCATCATACACTGTTTCCTGTTTGTGAATCTGCACACATCCAGGTTACTTTCTTCATTTGTGATGTCATTATTTTGGAGAAAATCAACTGTTTTCCATGTGTTTCTAGTTGGTGTATGTGAGATGTTTCTTTGGCCGCATATAAAGTCCTACTTTGCTATGAAGTCAGCGTGTCCACTTTTAAGTAGAATTTTTGGTAAAAACAGTGTTTTTCTGGTTTCTTTGCTTGGCCAGCCACCTTTCAGTCAGTGAACTGAAGCAGTTCCCGAGGGGCTTCAAGTTGGCACACGATTTTACTCACATGGATAGAAAACAGCTGTTTGCTGTAAGGTGTGACATCCTTCTGCTGCAGCTGTTGGTGTGTTTTCATGTTTTGTTGGTTGTCTGGGCACAGAAATATCTCCAGAGACCTTAAGGCAGAGCTGGAGAGAGGGCTTACCCTGAAACCAAGTGCTTTAGAAGCACACACAATGCTCATGTTTCTAAATAAGTGTTTGTTTATTCAAGCGAGAACTACTTTCCTGAGCTGATTGTGCATGGCAGGGAGTGTATTGGGAAAAAGTTGTGTCTAAGACATTGTATAATCTCTGCTTTAGAGGGAAGGAAACAGAAAGAGTTCAGATCATCACAGAAACACATGGAAAATCTGGAAAACATCCAGATGGAGAGAGAGTTTACAAGGGAACAAGTCCTTGCGTCCAACACGCTTCTAATGGAACTGGGGTGATAAGATAATCGTTGCAGACAGCTGTAAAATGCTGGCTGTGGTTTACATGCGTTGAGAAGATGAGAACCAGGTGATGCTCATCGAGCTGTATGAGGGGTGAGTCGAGTGATTTTTAGGGAAGAAAGAGGCACAGTCCAGGGAGTAACGAGGACAAGAGAGGAATGGCGCCATGGAGCACTGAGTAGGATTTTCTGACTAAACGTTTTGACGGTTGTGGGAGGGCAGCCTGAGTCAGGCTGCCTCCAGACTGCAGGGTTAGAAGGTTAGGTGTCCTGCTGCTGAGACTTCTCCTTCACTCAGGTAGCATCGCTGAAGGGCCAAAGAGACAATTAGGACTAGGTCCTACCCTCAGGGAGGGCACTGGTGGGGAGGAGATGAGCATGTCCACCACGAACTCAGGCAGATGCTGTCCCTGGCGTGTGTGCAGAGTCTACGGGTCTCTGCTAACTCCGTTCCCATCCCGTGGAGGCTCCTCCAGACCCAACCCCTGCAGACACGGGCTCTCCCAGCCAGAGGGGAGACTGGAAGGCATGACCCTTCTGGAGCCCCGTCGGGGGTTGGGGAGACAGGGAGGCCTCCGCTGTCTGCTGAGCCCCTCTGCTCTGGCGGGCATCAAAAGGTAAACTGAGGCATATAAAAATTTTAAGAGTTTATTTGAGCAAAAAGCGATTTGAATGGGGCGGCGCCAACCCACAAGTGGTTAGGAGCCTCCCTGACTGGATGGGAGAGACTTCTAGAGAGAAGTTGCGGAGACACAGAAAGGGGATCCCTGATTGTCCATGGCATACGCTGGGTTGGCTGTGTGATGGGTCGTCCTTGGGTCTGAATTTCATTACCTTGAGGCATTTCCGGGTTCAGATTTGGGCTTGTTGATGTGGGCGCCAGGGTGTTGGAGCCCCTCAGTTTAGTGGTCTCCACGTTTGATTAATTCAACTTGGGCCCCGTGGGAGGCTGTGGTCCTGTGTCAGCGCACGTGCGTGGCCAGAGTCAGGGAATGTGGCTTAGAACTGGGGCCTCACTTCCTGTCTTTGGTCCATGGTTTTCTCCACTGTTGGGTGGGTGGCTGGCACCCCCAGCTGCCGGGGGCTGCAGCTGCTCTAGGAGTCTGTGAACCCCTGACGGTCAGTTTTCCTGGCACCATATAAGGCAAGGCGCCTGCATCCCACCTGGAGGGCCTTCTTCCTGGCCAGCCTGCCCTGTGGCTGCTGTGTGTGGATTGTTAAACAGCCTCTACATGGGGACTGGCACATCTCGCTCTTCTTCCTCATTGGCTTCTCCCAGGACTCCCACCCTCCCCGCCCTGCTGAGCAAGTCCGTTCCGTGCGCCTGTGTCCCCAGTGGGCCGAGTCCCCAGGGTTGCTCCTCAGTGGCTATTGGAGCTTCTTGTTCGCTTCTTTCTCCTTTGGGCACCGTCCTGTGTCACCATCGATTGGGGATTTCCTTCTTTTCCTGCTCCCGTTCATGCCGCTCTCACAGTTTCCACTCATGGATGGAGGGCGATAGGCACAGACCTGTCCCCTTGAGGCGGCAGGAGGGCAGGTAGCAGAGAGTGACACAGCTCTGAGCTCGGCAGGGAGGCCTGAGCTCTGCAGCCTTGCAGCCCATCCGTTCCCCCACCTTCTCAGAGACTCGGGATCACTCTGTGGTCCTGGTGAGCTGGCCCAGGGCCAGATCCGCATATGGACGGGACAGGGATGCAGGCAGTTGAAGTTTGGTGACCTTGAAGTTACAGTAATTTCAAACGTTAGTGAAAGTCTCTGACTGATGGAGGGTGAGTTTTGAGAAAGCTCTCTTTGGTGTGGGTTCACAATGAGACCTGTAACCTTGGTGCTGTGACTGTCACTCCTGTGGGTCCTGCGTCTTGTGAAGAAGCTGATGTTTGAAATGTGTCGGGGTGGGTGCCTGTGTGGAGACCTCGCCTCCGATGTGTGGGCGGAGGGCTCACTCACCCTCTCAGCTAGGAGGTGACATAGAGCATTGTAGGCAACGGAAAAACCCACCAATTTTCAAAGTGAGAAAAGCAGTATTCAGGAAAATTAGAAGAAATTGGTCATGCCAAAAATGTGTAAATTATGGGAAGTAGGGAGACATCTTAAATGGAGAGAAGCGTAAGCTCCGGATGGTCTGTATAACTGAAGGACGTTGGAGGAAGTGCGCTACCCACTTAGTCCAGGGCCGTTTTTCTTTCGTGGTGTCTGTAATTGTTGCTGTAGCTGACAGTACGCTCAACGTCAAGTTAAGGTGCAAGTCGATCCCCCTCCTAAATTCCTATGTAAGTTAAAAGATTTGAATGGAGGTATTCATGTACCTGTATATGTGCCATAATTAAGATTATGTTGGTTTTTCTTCTAGAAAGGTCCATATATTTTGAAAGTGAATCAACGAGGTGGAGCAGTCGTGGTTTTTCCCTCCGGGTGTGAAGGAAAGGCCTGCATGCGTCTGACCCACAGTTATCGTCATCCAGCCAATTATTTGGAAGTCTGGGCCCAAGATAGAGTTGTGTTTAATCTTCCTATTTGATTGTTTCATTCGTTTTCCACACAATGTAGGAAATCTGGAGAGTTATCTGTTGACACTGAATTTGGAATGACTTAGAAAAGAAACTTTCAAGCAGAAAATCTAGACCTGTAAAAAGTAATTAAAGTTGTTTTTTTCTTTTTTCTTTTTTTTTTACTTCTTTAGATACCTGCACTTTAATCAGATAGAAACGTTGGACCCAGAGTCATTTCAGCATTTGCCAAAACTCGAAAGGCTGTAAGTCGACCTTCCGCCTTCACCTGCAGGGTGGAGCTCTGGGCTCTGCCCATTTGCTGTAACCGCATTCAGGCCGCTCTCTGTTCACACACCTGGAAACTGTCTCGGTGAAGAATCTCTGCTCCTTGTCTAACGAGTCAGAAGCAGGACTTCTAATTTTCTCTTTTTTGGGAATAGTGATAAAATAGAAAAAAAATTCTAGTTCTTTTCTGGACTAATAATCTTGTTCTTAGATTCATTTGTATGAAGTAAATGCAATCACTGAGAAATTTTCTTAAAAGCTGATTTATTCGACAGCATACACTCTTTTCTATGCATCTAAGAAGTATTTTAAAAAGTTGTTTTGTTGTGTTATCTCTTTCAACAGATTTTTGCATAACAACCGAATTACACATTTGGTTCCAGGAACGTTTAATCACTTAGAGTCCATGAAGAGATTGTAAGTATGGGACTTTCTGTGCTGTCTTTCCAGCAAAGCCTAATTTCTGCCTTCCTGACCCTTTCTCTTGGGTGCTGTCAAGTGTTTATCATGATCAGAATGCACATTAGCAGAGTTCCTATAGATGGGGGGGTGACGGACCCCATCAGAATGTAAACCGAGAGCCAAGGTGACTCAGGGAACGTGGCAGTAGAGTTGTCCTGTAATAGGCGGGGAAGATGTTCTTAAAAGTCAACTGTAAATTCTTCAAATTAGTTTTTAATTCTGCGGTGCTTTTTTCTAGTGGAAATAAAATCAGTCTAGAAAGAATCTGTATGCTGTATTCCATTCCTTTTATTTAGGCACACACATAGCTAAACATATTAAGTAGACTGATGTCTACACATTTTTAGGTCTCTCAAAGTAATGTTTCTTTATACTGGGTAATTTCTTATAATGGAATTAAAGCACTTTAGTAGTGATGGAGGCAGTTGTTTGACATCCTTTTTGTGTTTTCCTTCATGGTCTTGAAGCCCATTGTTTTTTAGTTTTGATCACTGAGTGTATACAATGAACTAGAAGAGAAGGAAGCAGAAAACTCAAATCAACAAGCCTAGACGCAGAGTAGTCTTTTGTTTGTTTCATCTCTTCAGTGAAATAAGACATAGACTTGCATCACTATTCGTGATTTTTTTCTTTGGGGTAAGGAAATCACCAGCCAAACTAAAAACCACATTCCAGGGGGAAGATACGATCAGTACCTCCATATTTGATTTATAAGAGAGACTAGCAAAGAAATTGCCGGAATAACCATGACCAGCTCCAGGCAGGCAGGCAGGGCTGCTGAGTCTGGAACATGCTGAGGATGGGTTTTCTCTGTTTCTGGCCCCTTTTTAGACCAAGGCCAATCCTTCAACCTCGACACCTCATTTCTGCCAATTTGCTCCCTTGACTTTGCTCAGTCTATGAACCTCTACATTTCAAGGCCCCACTGACTTGCCCTTTTCCCACCCAGATGCCACAGCAGGAATGTGGAGATGGTGGGCTTCCTTCCTTTGGCCTGCTCGGCCTTGGGAGGGCTGGCCAGGGTCACATAGCTAATCTCTCCCACCTGGTTCCCCCCCTGAGCCCCGTGGCCCGTCTTGAACTTCAGGGAGTGTCGGCGCTGCATCCCCTTCCCCTCCGAGCGGCCTCCTGGAGAGACGCGGGTGGGAGGTGTGACGTCACAGGCCCCAGTCTCCTCCGGGAGAGCTCTGGGCCTACAGGTGTGGGCACCTTCACTCGGGGATCCCGGTGAGTTCCTCCTCTGTAGGTGGAGGCCGCACCTGCCTCTGCAGGTCTCATGGTGCCATCATCACACATTTCTGTGCTCCTCCTTCCATTACAATTGCTTCCTACCTTTGTGCTTTGCTGCAGAGGCAGCCACCTTCCCTGGGGGGAGGAAACCTTGCCTGTTATGCCTGTTGAGACGTGGTGCCCGGCTCCACGGGACACCTTCCTCGGAAACTTTCAGGATGACTTCACCCTCCAAGATTTGTGCCCTGTGGGCTGGCTTTAGAATTAACCTGGCCACGAGGTGCAGCTCCACCGTCATGCTCTCCCTTGTGGCATACTTCAGGATTCAGTGAGAGGAGTGTCATCTTTTATTCGTGTTATTTGGGTTTTTTCCCGCTCTTGGGTGCTTCTTTCTATTGACGTGTGGATCTCTGCTTGGTTCCCCCTGTTGGGCAGGACTGGGCCAATGCTGTTGTCTGAAGCATCATCTCACCCATTGCCCTGAGCCCAGCTGGCCCACCACCTGTGTGCCCGTTCAGGTCTGTCTGGGCTGGATTCCCACCTGCTGATCCCGAGTCTCACTGGCTGCTGCTGCTTCTCACAGGCGACTGGACTCAAATGCGCTTCACTGCGACTGTGAAATCCTGTGGCTGGCGGATCTGCTGAAAACCTACGCCAAGTCGGGGAATGCACAGGCAGCAGCCACCTGTGAATATCCTAGACGCATCCAGGGACGGTCAGTGGCCACGATCACCCCAGAGGAGCTGGACTGTGGTGAGCGAGCCCCGGGGCCCCCAGATGGGGGGCAAGGACCCCACCAGGCACCTGGGCCTGGACCCCCGTGTTGGTGTTCCAGAAGGTGTGGGACGTGCTCTAGCCGAGTCCCAAAAATCAAGTCTTGGTGGGACCTGACAAGGACCTGCCTTTGCAAAGCCCTGCTCTGTAGTGTCTATAAGAAACTATTTGGTAATAAACTTGGGTTTTATTTTCAGGTTCCCCTGCAAAAACTAACAAAATGAAACACACTGCCACTCGCTCTCCCTCGCTCCTTTCCAAACCTCTTCATGTAAAGGCTGTTGCTGCCTGACCGCAGGACTCTTTGGTAGAGCTGGACGTCAGGGTGGGCGACTTCTGGGGCTGGGCTCAGGTGGCTGATTGGTGGTGGCAGCATTCTGCATGTTGATCTGGGTGGTGGCCACACAAAGGTCCATAGCTCAAGTTCATCCAGCTGAGTGCGTCCGTGCATTGACTGTATGTATGGATACCTTACTGAAACATCACAAGAAAAGGACAAAACACATCAGATTGTAGGGTAGAATCTTCCTTGTAAATGCCCAAAGTGTTACTCAGCTTTTTCTTTTCTTTTAATTTTAGCACTATTTTGGGGTGCTACAATTAGTTTCTCAAAAGCATTATTATTCTTTTTTAAATATTAAAAAAAAGCTCAATGAAAACTAAAGATCAATACGTTTCATAAACAGCTCCAGCAATAAGGGCACTGGCCTCGTTGACATTTGTGTCCCTTTATAAACTCCCCTTGGGAACTTGTCTTCCTGTCTTGTGTAGAGGTGACTTGTTTCAATAGTGCTGAGTGTCCGGAGGCGCCCTGGCCGCACGCCCCCATCCGGCTCACTCTGTGCCAGGACCGCTGTTGGGAGTCCTCCCCGTTCGCGGTGGGGCCGGCTGGGCTGTGTGCACCTCTTTGACAAGATGCTTTCCTTAGCATTCACTTCCTGGGACAAAGCTGGAGGCCGTGGATGATTGTGCTCCCCGCTGACCTCCGATGGCTGACCCTGCCGGGCACGCCGGGGTCATTTTCCCTGGGCCAATCTTGGGTCTCCTTCTCTTTCTGATAACGGCCTTTGGGATTCCTCATAATTCTCTTCCCGGGAGGTGAGCCATCCAGGCTGCCCTTCCTTCCTCAGCCCAGCTCTGACTTTGTCAATGGGGACCCGGCTCGGGAGGCGAAGGGCAGGAGCGCCTTGAGTGTTCCGTCCAGCACCACAGTGGCCTGGTCAGTGGCGCTGCCTCGAGGACGTGTCCCCCTGCCCCGACTGTCTCTGGAGACCCTCCGTTGCTGCCCTGCCACGCGAGGTCTCCTGGGGCCGGTGGCTTCCTTCTCCGGCTGCTTCACCACCCGGTTGGCTCTGTGTGGGGAGAGCATGTGGAGAAGCAGAGGTTTCCCGAAGTCCCTCAAATTCAACACGCAAAAGAAGAGATGGAAAGTGGGTGAAAGGGTCATTAAAGTGTGGCCAAGGATGCGCAGTGAGAGCCGGAGTTTCTAGAGCCATGGGCAGGGAGAACCGAGGAGCGGCACTGTGGGGGTCGAGGGGGCCTCCTGTCGTGGGCTGCAGGGCACACGGCACCATGAAGACGGGGGGCAACGATTCAGGATCAGGGCGAGTTTGGGCCGGCCCCGTGGCTTAGCGGTTAAGTGCGTGCGCTCCACTGCTGGTGGCCCGGGTTCAGATCCCGGGTGCACACCGACGCACCGCTTCTCCGGCCATGCTGAGGCCGTGTCCCACATACAGCAACTAGAAGAATGTGCAACCAAGACATACAACTATCTACTGGGGCTTTGGGGGGAAAAAAATAAATAATAAAAAAAAAAAGGATCAGGGCGAGTTAACCTGGGTGCACGGTGAGTTTGAGGCATCTCCTTTTGAGGACTGAGCAGTGATAATGATGCGGACCACGTTTTGTACCTGAGACGTCAGATACTGTGACGGCATGTACACACACACATACGTTTGTGTGTGGGAGTTCGCTTTTTTCTTTCTGTAATTCTCTCAGCAAATGTACCTGGTAGATAGATGAATACCTGAGGCTTTGAGAGGTCAAGTCGCTTCCTGAAGAGTTCCATAGTTAGTAAGTGAGGAGGCAGAGAATAGAATGTCACCTGCCCAGTTGTCAAGCCCAGCATCTCTCGGTTGCCGGGGGGCTTCAGAGAGGACAGTTACACGGAAGGCCTGGTGTGCAGGAGGGACACACGTCAGTCCTCGGGAGCCATCAGCACTTGGGTGGAGAGGAGAACCAGAGTGTGGAACAGCTTGCACGAGGAGGCAGGAGGAGGCAGCTCCTTTGGCCCCAGGGTTGTGGGTGAGGGGCTGTGTACACAGGAGGATGAAGGACGAGGATGAAGGGCAGCTCTACTGCCCTGCCCTGCTTGGGACAGCTTTCTGTTCTCAGCATTGCTTTAGCTAAGAAGTATTATTTTCTGTTCTTTTATTCACTAAAAACCATTATTCATGGAGTGTCCAGTCACACGGGTGTCATGCTTTCTTGAAAGGTGAGTAGCCCACTGGGGTCATTTTCTGATGCTTGTCTGAGACCACCTCAGTGCCAGCGTCCTCAGTTCTTAGAGGGCGGATCCCTGAGTATTAGACAATGCTATGTAATTCGCACTATAAGATGGTCTCAGTAGAGAAGCCTGTCTGTCATTCTTGAGGGGATGTTTGTGGTTGAGGTATGTGTTTGGACACTTGTGATGGTCTCTTGAACCTGAGGGATTTGGTTTGGTTTGGTTTACTCCATGGTTTAACCAAGAAGGTCTCTGTTTCCTTATTGGAACAGAAAGGCCCCGGATCACGTCTGAGCCCCAGGACGCAGATGTCACCTCAGGGAACACGGTGTTCTTCACCTGTAAAGCCGAAGGCAACCCCAAACCCGAGATCATCTGGCTCCGAAACAAGTAAGTTGGGTGTTGGACGGATGCCATCGGGCATCTGGTGTTGTGATTCTCACAGTCTGTCCGGTGCTTTGTCTGCTGGACGGCACCACCCCACCACCCTTCAGACCCCGCCTCGACTCTTTCTTCCTCTTCTATGGAGGAAAGAATATAAAGGAGGAAACATTGTTTCTGCATCTTCCCTGCTTTGAAATAGCAGGTGCGCCTGGGAGACAGACGTCTCTGCCGTCTCAGGCCTCCATGACCCGAGTCCCTGGGTCTCGTCACGTGAAGGGCCAGCACGCTCTCCTTGTTACCTGCAGTGGTTGGCAATAAAGGGGCAGCAGGTCGCTCCCTCCTCCTGGGTTGGGAACGGGAGGGAAACTTAGTTCTTCTCTACCCGTCCACTTTCTTTGGCCAGAGGCTGTGGGGACTGGTCAGTGGACACCTCACACCTGGAGCCTTGGGACCAGTCCTCACTGGACGGGGGTCCTCCCTGCTGGGGACAGCGTCCACAGGGAGACTCTGTCAAGTGAATACAGTGTACTTGGCTCCCGTGTGAGTTGGTTTGTCCCCTGGAACAAAGGTCCCTTCCTTCCACAAGCATTTTGGTGTGGGGAGCAGAGCATAGGTCAGACCTGTGGTCAGTCGGCTCGGTGGGGTCCTGGGGTCAGACCATGGAGGGTCATGTGCTAAGTGCGGCGCGTTGAAGCTTGCATTTTGAACTGAATCCTTGGAAAGAAATCTTCAACCTGAGACCACCTTATCATCTCTTCCTGTGTTTATTGCACGAGGACTCCGACACGCACTCATGTATGAGCAGAATGCTCGCCGTGGGTCTTGGCACTCAGCATTTCCTCCCAGAGCTTGCTGGCCATGTTTAGTCGTGATGGATCAAGGAGGACATCTCCAGAGATCGGAGCCCAGACACTGACTGAGTCATCGTCCCTTCCAGCCCTGGGCCAGACTCCCAGCGGAAACATGGCTGGCTCTTGAATCAAGCAGTGTTTGCAGAAAATCAAACGGGAGCAGTGAGCGGGGCGTTAGAGGGTTTTTAGATGCAGAAGCAGAAGACGTCTTCCTGCTTATGAAGACGAGGAGGCTGGTGCTAGGCCTGGATTTGTCGTTGTCTTGGCTGAGCTGACACTGGACTTGGTCCCAGCACTGTGCAGGGAATGTAAGATGCTGTCGCAGTCTTCAGACCTCTCGTTACCTTGAATAGCTCTGAAGGCGATGAGATTTAAGATCCAGAGTATAACCCTGGAGGAATTCTGAAATATTATGAAGTGTGCATTGAAAGGGCAGAGAAGCATAAATTTGGCTCAAGCTCATAACTACATTTTCTAAATGAACAAATTGATATTAAAAGTTAAATCGCAGAGCCAGTCATGACAGAGTGAGAGCCAAAACTCCAGGCCTGATGTCTAATGTGGGGCTGTGCCCTCCACCTGCCAGAGTCTGTGGGCCAGCCCCACCTGAGAGCCAGCCCCACCTGGGAGCCAACCCCACCTGCAGGCTTGTCCCACCTGAGAGCCTGCCCCACCTGAGAACCTGCCCCAGTGTAGGCCAGGCCCACCTGGGAGCCAACCCCACCTGCAGGCCTGTCCCACCTGAGAGCCTGCCCCACCTGAGAGCCTGCCTCAGCTGCTGGCGGACACTGTTTATGGAGGGAACTGGGCTACATCAGTAAGAGTCACTTGTGGGGCCTGAGGTGACTTGCTTCCATCCAGAAAACCTTGCTAATGAGGACAAGTTTCACTTTTGGTGGTTTGGTGTAGGTAGAGGAAGGTGGGTGGGGACCAGGTTGGGGTCGCTCCCACACGACAGGGTCTGTAGTCTGGGCACTGCCTTAGGTTTCTGAGCAATGTCTGACGGGAAATGCCTTCAAACTAGGACGGTTTTGTTCTGTGGGCTTATGTAATCTTTTGCATTTAGTCACGTAAATGTTTTTACCCTGTTATCTTGAATTAATTTGTCAGAAACAAAGGAAATTTTTCCTTTGAATTTTTTCCCTCTGTGTTTATTTTTTCCCCTTTGGAATGGAGACCACTTTAAAACATTTATAGATTGAACGTGTAGATAATAAAAGTAAAGATTTAAATTAATTAGAGATGCAAATGCATAGGCACATTTCCCAGAAATGCCAATTAGGTCAGAGGCTGTTAGGAAGGAAGTGTTTCTTGGGAAGGCAAGATGGCACCATCTGCATCTCTGTGTGTGGGGTGCACTTGGATGCGGGGTCCTGGTGCCGGGACCCAGACCTTCCGCTGGGATTGGGTGTTTCTTTGTGCCTTAAGAATTTGAGCACCCAGATTTCTGTCTTTACAGTAATGAGCTGAGCATGAAGACGGATTCCCGCTTAAACTTGTTGGACGATGGAACTCTGATGATCCAGAACACACAGGAGACAGACCAGGGCATTTACCAGTGCATGGCGAAAAACGTGGCCGGAGAGGTGAAAACACAGGAAGTGACCCTCAGGTACTTCGGGTCTCCAGGTACGTGGACAGCGTCTCACACAAGGGGTCCTTCCAGAACAGTCCTTCCTCGCAGTTTGCTTCCTCTGTTTCTTGCACGGTAAATACTCTGTAAATACGAACAAATGCTGATGTCTCCAGGTGAAGCTCCAGTGGCGGGGTCAGCCCACGAGAAAATCGGGTGATTTCCGACCAGTGCCCCAGTCCATGGTCACCCCCTAATACAGGACGGGCACTCAGAGTGGACAGTTGAGGCCGGTGGTGCTGTGAGCACAGCTGTCAGAGGGAAGGCCTAGAGAGTCGTGTGCCCCTCCACCCACCCACTCCTTCCACTCACCCTCATCTGAAGGGGCTTCTGCCAGCTCTTGCTGTTTGGCAATGGGGTCTCTATTGTGCTGAGGGCTCTGGTTATTGAAAAAGAAGCCAAAAATCTGGATTTTTATGCAAAATTCCTATGTCTAAAATATTGGCACCTGGTCTAAAGAGACTGTCTGAGCCAAAGGAAGCACAGCCATGGCCTGGAAGCGGTTTGAGTCCCACCCAGTTGCAAACCCTGCTCTTGCTGACGTGTTGAATCTGCAAGCTTTGGTCAGAAGAGGGACTGGCCCGTGGAGAAGAGTTGAGTGGAGTGATCTCTCGCCCTGCTGTTGGAAATAGCACGGGCCGCTGTGGCGCCTCCCTGGGTCCATGTTCCCTCTCCGTGGGTGGGCCAGCAGAGTCCTGTTTCTTACCCAGGACACGTTGCACCTGTACCTGCCTCTGTGAAGCCTTCCCACCCACCCTCAGCGTCACACGTTAGTCATTCTGGGTCTGTGTGCCCTGGGGGTTTATATTTCAGGCCATTTTGATACCTGTTGGATGGCAGTGTAAATGGCTTGTGTGTCTTTCTTTGTTTAGATTCTTAGCTCCTTAGAAACTAGCCTGGTCTTTGTATTTCATAAGGCCAGATTTAACATGACAGGTTCTACAGATGCCCTCAAGGCAGGCTTTGACTTGCGTGTTCTTATCCCTGTGAACAGCTTCACGATCTCTCCTCCGCCATTCTGCTAGAAACGCTAATGTTAAATGTCATTTCTGTGTTTTCTATAATTGGATGTTACTTAGATATTTGATTAATAGGGCTTAAACATTAACAGACATTAGAAGATGTAAAAAAGTCTCTCCTGTCTCTTTCCTTCAGTGAATTCCTGTCTCCACTCCCATTTCCCCAAATTACTAACAGCAGTTTCTCCTTCATCCTTCTAGAAAAGTTGTCAGCATATGCAAGGCCAGTGGTTTTTCTTACCACATCTTAGAGGTCTTTCATTTCAGTACACAAGGGTCTTCTTACTCTTTCCTTTTTACAGCTGCAAAGAATTCCATCATCTAGATGTAACATAATGTATTTAACTAGTTCCTTTTTGGAGCACATTTAGATTTTTTCCAAATTTTTTGCTGTCGCAGGTCCACATCCCTATATCCAAAACCCCTTGTGCCAGATATTGTTTGAAATTCAGAAATTTGGGGAATTTTTTCAGAAGGGCCACATGGTGCATAATCCATTCACTGACTTATACATCCTATAGTCAATACATTATCATCCTCTAGCAAGTGTGTGGCTATTCACAGTAAGTGGAATCAATGAGGACTCTAAGTAGCCTCATGCCAGACAGATCAAGGTTTGTAAACAAATAAGTTACAAAAAATATTTTGTTTTTGTAGCTTTTTGGATTCCAGAATTGTAGATAAGGATGTTGGCCCAAAGAATCAACACAGCAGTAAAAAAGCCTCTTCTTTGTACATGTGTCATTCTACGTGCTTGTAAAACTATTACCTTCCTAGCCGAGTAATTTCTGGGCAAAAGGGTGGATGAATTTTAGTTTTGTTGAATGTGGCCACGTTACTCTCCAGGTGAACAGCTTACACCCCACCCAACCTGTGAGAGTTCTGTTTCCTTACAAACTCACCCACAAAACACATTAATAAGTGTCTGGATTTTTTTTTCCTACATTTAGAGTGGAAAAATAATAGTGTACTTTTAATTTGAATTTTTCCTTTTGTGAGGGAAATTGGTTATTTTTGTAAGTTCTAAATACACTTCAAAAACAATGTCTTATACCAGTAAGAACTAATAGCAAGGTTTAATATGATCGACATAGTGTATTTAGAATAAACAAAAGCAAGAATTCTCCATGGATTTCTGTCCGTGTCTAAAGAAGAAATAGGTTTTACCATCAGTCAGAGTTGCTGACTACTCTCTCGACCCTCGAGTGACCACTTTTACTGTCTGCGCATTCCTTTAAACAAGGAAAAAGACAAGAAAGTATGCAGTTAAATTGTTGTTTTACTTATTTTAGAGGTCAACAGATAGAATGAGTAGGTGAAAACAGAAAAATTCAAGCAAACAGCTCTTGCTAAACTGAAGGAGATTAATTCAGAATTTGTGTTTCGTTGTGACAGCGAGACCTGCTTTTGTAATCCAGCCACAGAACACGGAGGTGCTGGTGGGGGAGAGCGTCACCCTGGAGTGCAGCGCCACTGGCCACCCCCCCCCGAGGATCACCTGGACCAAAGGGGACCGGACGCCCGTGCCTGTGGACCCTCGAGTGAGTATCACTCCTTCTGGCGGACTTTATATACAGAACGTCGTGCAGGAGGACGGCGGGGAGTACGCCTGCTTCGCCTCCAACAGCCTCGGGAGCATCCACGCCACGGCCTTGATCATCGTCCAGGGTGAGAACCCCGTACTCGGGCGGCAGACCCCGTCTCCCCGCGCGGTGCTCCCCGCGTCCCCACGCTCGGGCCGGTCTCTGTGTGCCCAGGCTCAGGCCGGCTTTCTTCCGCCCCGGCTCCCGTTCCCACCCTGGTCCTCCTGGCCCCTCAACCGGCTTTATTGTTACCCGTTGTACTTACTACCATCTGTCATGTTTCCTGAGGCTTGGTGACAGGTTTATTTTCTGAATGGAAGCTTCAGGAGGACAGGGGCTTCATTTTTCGGCTGTGTTATCCATAGCACCCGGAGCACCTGGCGTGTCCGACATTTGTTGAGTGCATGAGTGTGTGCATGCGGGTGTGCATGTGTGTTAATCAGTAAGTCTTGCACACATCTTGGAATTTCCCTAGGAAATTCTTAGCATAGGATGCTAAGAGTATGTTATAGTTTTAAGACTTATGCTGTGCATTACCAAATTCCTTAGTTGACTCTATAATGAGTTTCTTAGTTTTTAAATAAATTAAAGTGGGACAGTTGTGGGGAAGCTCTAAGACAGTACAGAAGTGCAGCATGCAGAGAAATTCATTCTTTCCCCAATCTTCTCTCTTCACCAACTCTTCCTGCCTCCAGCAGAGGCCACTTCACTCCCAGCCTGCATCCAGCCCCAGCCTTCTGCACACGGAGCAGCAGGTCACCTCGTGTTCACGTTGTTGTTGTGGTTGTTACTCTTATAAAAGCAGAATCATACTCGATATACTATCCTGTAACTTATTTTTTTCACCCAATAATAATATTAAAATAAGTCTTACTGTGCACAGTTGCACTAGATGACATTTTTTAACTCTTGGCAGTGCTAATTTGGGTTGAGGAGTGAGATGAATCTCTAAGTCAGCCCTGCTTCCACAAGTGAAATAGGACGTTGTCTGTAGCCTGTATGTTGTAGCTACAGTGTTAGTAAATGAACAGACTCTGTGCACGCTTCCTCAGCGTGGTGCCGAGCTGCCCATCATCGGGTGTTCTGCTGCTGCACATCCTCTCACTGGGAAGTGTCTCGTAGATACATCTCCTAGACGACCTGCTCACGGATCCTGCCCCAGCAGGAGGGTGTCCGGCAGAACCCTGTCGTTCTCACCTTACTATGGGTGCACCTCCCTCTGGGGAAGGAAGACAGCAGTGTTGTTTGTGCCACATCGTTACCCAAAGCTGTCTTTTAAATGTCATGTTCCCAATGTTTTTTCTTCCGGAAGCTCTTCCTCAGTTCACTGTGACCCCTCAGGACAGAACAGTTATTGAGGGTCAGACGGTTGATTTCCAGTGCGAGGCAAAGGGCTACCCGCAGCCGGTCATCGCCTGGACAAAAGGAGGTAAGACACGACCCTGTGTCCTGGCCCCGTCACCCTGCTCCCTCCCTCGGGACACAGACTCAGGAGACCAGTCTGTCTTCCCCTCATCCAGGCGAACCTCAAATTCTCTGGACGGGCCGAGCGATGGCAGAACCCAGCACGACCCAGGCGCTGGGGAGGGACAAAGGTGTCTGCGTGTCCCGGCCATGGCCATCATGGCGGGACACTCGGAGATCCGTCCTTATTGAAGGGGCTTGGGTGTGGCCTTCTGCTTTCTCAGGCCCAGCTCCTCCCAGATGGTCTCTGTGTCTTGTCCTTAATGTACACTTAATTGGCATCTTGAGTGAAATGTAACAACGTGTAGGCTAGAACTTCCTGGAAACCGGCAATGGGACATATTTTTTAAACTTCGCTGTCCCTAAATTCCCTGATTTCTTGTGTCATTTCTCCATCTGCTGTTGTTGACTGTTGGTCACTGTAATCCTCTGGGTCTGATCCCAGCCCTCTTCTCCAGCTGGTAAACCACTGGCCACATGACTGATGAAGGCACAGCCCATTCCCCTGGGGTGACAGCAACCTGGCCGGGCAGGTTGGGGTGAGGGCAGGTGGCCAGGCTGGTGGACCTCAGATTCTGTCCTGGGATAGAGACGGGTGGCCTTGAGAACCTTGAGTGATCCCCACCTTGAACCAAAAGGCAGCCCCCCCCTTCGTCCCCTGAGGGGCACTTTCCAGGATCCTGGGTGGAGACCTGCGTGGGCACCTAAGCCCTGGACCTCCCTCCTCGGCAGGAGGGCTCCGCCCCAAGAGGAACGGTTAGGACCTTCCTGGGGTCCTTTGCCTTTGGATAACTCTGGCCCCCCGTCCTCTTCCCAGCCCTGTCCTCCAACACCCAGCCTGGGACTAGCCTCTCCAGGACCCGGGTGTGAGCCGCCCGCACGCCCTGCCGTCCTGGCTCCTGTCTACCTTGCTCTTGTCTCTCTGCCCCTCACCCCCTCCCGGGGAGTTTCTTGGGGGCAGGGACCGTGCTGCTTATCCGTGAACTGGCACATCGCACAGGCGTGTAACGGCGTCTGCGGTGAAGGACCGTTTGCTGACCGGAGTCCAGGACGGGTTATTCTGGGCCCTAACTCGGGCAGAGACAAGTTTGTGCGATCCTTTCCCTTTCTCAGATGGAGTTCTGCCTGACCTCGGGTTTTCCCTCTCCTGCCTGTAGTAACGCCCCCGTGTGTCCACGCCTTTCAGGGAGCCAGCTGTCGGTGGACAGGCGGCACCTGGTCCTGTCGTCGGGAACGCTCCGGATCTCGGGCGTGGCCCTCCACGACCAGGGTCAGTATGAATGCCAGGCCGTCAACATCATCGGCTCCCAGAGGGTCCTGGCGCACCTGACGGTACAGCCCAGAGGTACGCGGCGGCGGGTCCTTCCCGGTGGGCCTCGCTGCTCTGTGCGGACGGTCGAGGGGAGGACAGGCTCTCCACCCCCACACAGTGCTGTTGCTTCGCAGGGCTCGCTCCTCCTCTTTGAGTGACTGTCCCTCGTCGTCGTCTCCCCAAGGGGTTCACGTCGTAGCTCCTTAAGTCTCTCTCACGTTCCCAGCAAGAACACTTATTTATTTCTTAATGATGCTTGGACTGAACTCTGATAAGGCCGACTTCTCAAAGAAAAATCGATTGGTTTTTCCTTGGCTAGTTGCTGTCACTTTGAGGAGGGCTGTTCTTCACCGCCTTGTCTGGGAGGTTATTGAAGCAACGCTGGGTCTGATGACGTCGGCAGACCCGTGAGCAGACCCGTGACGGTGTCTCGCAGGCGTGATTCTTCTCCTGTTTGCCCTCCCAGAGTTCGCCCCCCTCTGCCTTCTGTGCTTCTCCGATGCCCCCAGACTGTTCCCTCCACCCAGAAGGACCTGGGGCAGCGCCCAGCTGAGGGCTGAGGCCTGCGGAGGGTCCCTCCTGTGAGAGCTGGGGCCAGGAAGAGGCTCCCCTCCCACGTCTGTTCTCACCGGCTTGCCTGGCTCTGGGTTTATGGGTTTGCCCTTCTGGCTCCTGCCTGGGCAGGACTCTGGGTGGCCTGCTGGGTGATGGTGTGTGGAGGGTCCCTGAAAGGCTGCCCGCTGTTGGCCAGGTCCCTCACTCTCTCAAGCGTGTGTTTCTGTCCCCAACCATCAAGCAGTCTTGGGGTCCTGTACATCCCCACCCCTCTCCTGGGGTCATGGGGCCATTGGACTCGGCAGCTCTGTCCCTTTCGCTCCTTCACTCTGGGCAGACACAGCTGGGAGGGAGGCAGAGAGACGCCCAGCTGTGGCCGAGAGTTCTCAGTGCTCTGGGTCTGCCCTGACGGAGGGGAAGGGGGCCTTTGCCCTTTTGAAGCTTTTTAGTGTAAATTACGAGTTTTCCTGGGTTTTCTACGTTTGTCAGCTGGGTATCCCTTGCCTTCCAGTCACCCCGGTGTTTGCCAGCACCCCGAGCGACATGACGGTGGAGGTGGGCAGCAACGTGCAGCTCCCATGCAGCTCCCAGGGGGAGCCGGAGCCCGCCATCACCTGGAACAAGGTAAGAGCCCTGCTGCGGGAAGGTGGCAGGGCGACTGCCACCCACTCGCCTCATCTGCAGACTTTCTATAGCAGAGGAAAACATCCAGACTGTAAGCCTTGAGTGAAAACATGCTGAGGGCATCCTTTCTCATAAAAACGGAGTGAGACCAACAAACTCCAGTCTCCTTTTCACGTCCTTCTCTGTGACAAAGCCGAAGGAAACCCTCTTGTTAGATCCTCGGTCCCATAATCAGTAGAGAAGGTTGTTTTGTTGTTATTTCATTTTTCTGTATTGTTTTTATTAAGCACAATATAAAAATGTGAAACTGTGTTAAAACATTATTAAGGATTGTTTTAATATGAAAAGTGACCCCCGTGGAGACGGCTGGCCATGTGCTGTGCTCCCCTTGGAAGGAGGTATGGGCTCTGGGCCTGGGGAAGCATCGGCCTCCCCACGTTCCTCACTGCTGCCGTCTTCTCCTGCGCTCTGCCAGAACCACACGGGGCTGCCCCTGCGTGCGCCCGAGCGCTTGTTCTCGCCCCCGATGTGGCTCAGGCATCTCTGGATGCCTCTGTGCCTCAGCATAGAGCCTGTCCTATGGGGGTCCCTGTGTGCCCACCGTCCACACACACACCATGGGAAATCCCACTAGCACCGTCTGTGTCTAGATCTTCTCTGGATCTTTTGCAAGCATGTAAGAAAAGTTTACCCTGCTGAGTTGGTATTGGGCCAATCGAATGAAATGTCCTTCTCTTTCCACTTTTGGGTGGGTCTGAGCAGAGTCTCCATGGCGTTTCCATGATGAGGCCCTAACAAATGGAACCCCCCTCCCCCCTAGGAAGACAACTTCTTCATCTTGTTCCTACTGTTATTTCTATTCTGTTTTGCTGCAGGACGGGGTTCAGGTGACAGAAAGTGGGAAGTTTCACATCAGCCCCGAGGGGTTCTTGACCATCCACGATGTTGGGACCGCGGACGCAGGCCGCTATGAGTGCGTGGCCCGGAATACCATTGGGCAGGCCTCGGTCAGCATGGTGCTCAGCGTCAACGGTAAGACTTCTCACGTGAGCCTCTCCTGCACGCTCATCCCATTGCCTCTGCTCAGAGGCCCCAGAAGGAAAGCACACAGGCCCCCACTGCAAGTCCAGCCTGATTAGTTCAGGAGTTTTAGGATTATTAGAAGACAGCGCACCCCTAATTTGCAGGGGAGGACACCGGGGCCCAGAGGAGCAGAGCCGCCTGCTCAGCATTACACACCCAGTGGTGGCCGGGCCAGGCTGGCTCTCTGAGCCACTCCTTCCTGCTGCTCTGAGACCACAAGCCACTGTGGTCGGTTCGCTCAGAGGAGCTTTCCTGGCTGTTGATTTGGTGGTTGGTTTAATGGTCGTCCAAACCCATCCACACCCATTGCAATCTGGCAACGTGTAATTACAGTCACCATTTGGCAAAAGTACGGCTGCAATTATTGCTTTAAGAGAGTCTGTGCTCCTTCCTCTGCTTTCTCTCTCTTGGATGTGGCCGTGTGTATCCTGGGCTGTGTTAGGTCCTGAGAGTCTTCACTATAAATCTCCAGATAATCACGGACAATTCCCTTCCCAGGTCCAGCTGCCAGCCCTTCAGCCGTACTGACCCCGCCTCTGTGTCTGCCCTGGCACATCTCATGCAGTGTCACAGGGGAAAAACAACATTACTGTAACATGAGTTAGTTATATATGAAATTTAAGAAGTGTCTCCCACCCGGAATCCCACCCCTAAGAAATAACCACTCTTAACATTTTAGTGAATTTCCTCTAATTTTTTTTTAAGATACAGAGATAAATGTTTACGGATTATTTTTCTATGATCACTGCTTACAAAAAAACAAATTCAATATAAATCATGGGTAACGAAACATTAGAGTCCTAAAATTATGTAAAATTGTCTGCTTCGTTTGTCTAACACTTGGCATAAAATTATTAAGTTCCAAAAATAGTAAATTTGGGCTCTGTTTAAGGTACATAAAAATAGGGCTCTGCCTAGGGAAAATGCTTTCCAGCTCTTTGAACCACAAATGTGTAAATATCTCAGATACGCAGAGTGGCTGGTCAGCTCACAAACTGTGTGCCTCTGTGTGTCGGACAGTGACTTGGATTAGCAGAGTGTGGGAAGATGGCCTGCCCGGGGCTCTCTGCTCAGGGCAGACTGTCCTTCCCTCCCACAGACGCCTGAGGGTACGTGTCAGGCTCTGCCCTGGGCCCTAGGGATACTGGAGTGAGCAAGACCAACTAGACCCTCGGACTCAGTGCTGAGATGCTGGTGTGGGGAAGTGAATAAGAAACAGTAAAATGAATAGTTAGGCTTGAATGGCGAGCGCTCTACAGAAGCAGGGGCAGGGGGAGGTAGAGGGTCCTTAGATGGGGTGTTAGGGGGAGACCGCCCTGCGTGTGTCAGTTTTGAGAGGCAGAGATTGGGATGGGAGCCACCGACCCAGGAGATGAGCAGGTGATGCCCGAGGTCAGGACCAGCCGCATGCCCCAGGGTGAGAGAGGACTGGGGGGGGAGACGGGCTGTCCCAGGGACCTTGTTAGCCGTGCTGTGGAGTTGGTTTTTATTCCAAATATGATGAGAAGCCACTGGAACGTTCTGAGCAGGGGAGTGCCATAAGCAGTCTGCTTTTCTAAAAGGTGACTTTGTTGTGGTGAAGGACTGCATGGGGTGAGGTGTGAGGGCAAGGAGAGAGGACGTGCTGGTTCTCCCCCATTCGGCTTGGGTAATTTGGGCGTCATTTACTGAGGCTTCAGAGAGCATCAAGGTAGAAGCCAGACTGGGGAAGAGACACATCAGTTGCTCTGTTGGCACACAATAAGGTTGAATGCTAGAGATGTGAGTCTGGAGCTCAGAGGAGAGTTCAGATAGACAGCCGGCTGGTTACTATGCCCCGGCTGCTCCAGCAGGCAGAGATCTGGCAGGGAAAAGACACTCTAAAATGGACCAAAACGGATGAGACAGCATCAGGAATCAAGAATGATGAATAGTCAAATTCTGTGCACCTGTCAGTCAAAGGAAGAGAGAGAATGAGCCTGAGACTGGAAAGGAGTCCTTGTGAGGCAGGAAGGAGTAGATCCCAGTCAGTCAGGAGAGGGTGTATCCAGGCAGGAGGGAGTGTATTCAGTCAGGAGGGAGTATTCTTGGACCAAGTGAAGGAAACATTTCAATAAGGGCATTTTCAACCGTGTCAACTTCTGTAGAAAGGTTTAGTGTGAAGAAAGAAAGCACCGGTGGTCTTGTTAAGATGTATGTTGGTGACCTGGCAGGAGCCACTTCAGAAGATAAAGATAAAAGATTGGTTTGATTATTTTATTATTTTACTTAGCAAACTCTTAAGTGCTGGAAAGTATTAAGTGAAAGAGAAATGAGGGACCTAGAGACAGAGCAGTAGCTTCAGAGATTACAGGTGGAGTCTTGTGTGCATGTGTGTGTGTGTGTGTGTGCGCGCGTCTCTGTGTGTGTGTGCGTGTGTACATGTGTGTGTGCCCGCGTGCATGTTTGTGCCTGTGTGCATACGTACGCGTGTGCCGGTGTGCACAAGCACGTGTGTGTGCATGTGTGCCAGTGCCTGTGTGTGTATATGTGTAGTGTGTGTATGCATTGTGTGCACTCGTGCCTGTGTGCATGTATGTGCACGCATGTGTGTGCATGCGTTGTGTGTGCACACAGATGAAGTATAATGATAGCAGTGGAATGGCACTGACGGCAGTGACACAGATCCGTCCATGAGGGGATGGGATGATGGAGGGAACAAAGTCTTTGAAAGGGTGAGCGGGTTGAGATCCAGCCATCCATGGAGAGTTTGACCCTTGATGAGAAGACCAGCAAAACCCACCTGGGTTTAAAACGTCTTGCTCTGTGCCCAGCAGACCGGCCACTCAGGTTGGCCTGAGTTAACACCTCCCTTGTGTGTGATGCTTTGGTAAAAGAAGTTCAGTGTTTTACGTTATAACTACTTTTTCCCTCTGCTTTCATGGGATGTCACACGATTTCAAATATTAAAAGTCTGTAATTTCCATTCTGTTTGAAAACAGCTTCTAGCAGAATTTGTGTTAAGTAATTTAAGATTTGGTGTGAAAAATAGAAATAGCATTTGGAGAAAAGTATGCCTCAGGTCTGCATGATGGAGTGTCTAGACGTTACTTTATGAGTAACTTGTGTAGTATCTTTCCGGTAATGTGCGACTTCATGTTTTTCTAGTTCCTGATGTCAGTCGAAATGGAGATCCATTTGTAGCCACATCAATTGTTGAAGCAATTGCGACTGTTGACAGAGCTATAAACTCAACCCGGACACACTTGTTTGACAGGTATTGTGGAGAAGTCAGCAGAGTTCTGGCCCTCATCTCACTTAGCTTCTGGGGGGTTTGGAGAATGCGCGCAGCTCCGGTGCACAGAGTTTTGACTGTGTCATCTGATTTAAAAATAGTAAACAACGTTGGCATCCGCTTTTCTGGGGCTGAAGATGACAGAAAGTCCTTTCCCAGGAGAAGCTGAACTATGATTCACAAATAAAACATTTTTTTAAGATTTCAACATGTTCTTTTGGCTAATTCCTAAATGATTTGGCAAAAACAAAATATTTCACAAGCCATAGTGTATTTGCTCATGCTGGTAATTCCAAAGTGTTTTTTCTGCATCTTAATTGAAAAAGAATATCTGTGCTTTCTCTATTGACTTAATTAACTGTTTGTTTTTAGTGTCTTTTGGTTGTGTGTTTGTCTTGTTGCCTTCCACTGGGGATGAGTAAGGTACAGTACCTCCTGTCTGTAGAAAAGTAGCGACAGAAATAGCAAATGCAATAATTATATTTTTGGATGCGAGTGATTTTTGTCCTCAGTAACTTGTTCCTTTTTTCCGTTTTTCCTCCTGAACTCCCGTTAGCCGTCCACGTTCCCCCAACGACCTGCTGGCCTTGTTCCGGTACCCGCGGGACCCCTACACGGTAGAGCAGGCCCGCGCCGGGGAGATCTTCGAGCGGACCTTGCAGCTGATTCAGGAGCACGTGCAGCACGGCCTGATGGTCGACCTGAACGGAACAAGTCAGTACCCGTCTTTTCCTGCCTCCTCCCTCCCTCGCCCTGGGTACTGACCTCGCCTCAGCTGCTCCGCCTTCCCAGGAGAGCCTGGAACATCCCTGTCCCATGGCATCTGTGATGATGCGATCTTGCTAAGTGAGGCTGCGTAGAGCCGGGACGGTCCTGGAGTTCTCTCCTTGGGTCTAATGGGAAGCCCGTAGTGATGGGAGGTGTGCTCACAGAAAACCGCACACTGGGCTGTAGGCCGTCCTTGCCCAGGGGCTGTGACCATCCAGTCCTCTGGGACGAAGAAGATTTGAGGGAAGACTTGGCATGACAGCAGCTAAATAAATGACACTATATCCACGGGATGTGACGTCATGTGGCTGTTGGAAAGGATGTCTATGGAGCGCCAGCTTCTGTAAAGCAGTTGATGAGATGAGTGGTGGCGTGGGGTGACTGACACCCTCTCCTTCTGCCCCTGGCACGTGGCACTGCCCGAAAGTGAAGGTGCCCGCCATGTCAGGAGGACAGTAGTGCTGTTAGAGATGTAGGCGACCTCCATTGCTGTGGAAAAGTGTCATTTTCAACGACGGTTGTTTATTAAGAGTTGTGGGCACACACACACACAGCCCTGGGAATGATGCCAACTGTAGCTGTCTCTGAAAAGGGGTGACTGGGTGATTAAAAATTCTCTGCTTGATGGTTTTCTGGTGATTTCTAACTTGTCTTTGATGAGCACATCTTTTCTCTTCAGCACACAAGCGTTTAAGAATTGAGCGTTAAGCAGGAATGTGAGTTGAAGGAGACACGGAGATTAGAACTATAGGGTCGTTTCTCCCCATCTTGGACTGGAGTAATTGTTCTGAGCCAGTCCTCAATCTTGCCGCGTGTGGGTCCAGTTTGTGGCTGAGCTTTGGCACCAGCGAGCCCACAGCCGTGGGTAGACCCCTCTCCTGCTTCCCCATTCTGGAGGGACGCTGGCCTCAGTGGGGCGTTGGAGGGCCCCCTCAGGACGTTTCCACTCCTCTTTATGGACAGACTTCCAGCCTCACCTGTGGGCATGCCCTGGGGAGAAATTCAGAACCGTTTCATTTTGCCCACGTGTTTGTGTTGGGTACTTTCTGCCCGTCGGGAACAGGGCTGGTGCTGGGGACACATCGGATGCCTTGGTTGTCCCTGTGGTGCCTCCCAGCCCTCCCTGGCCCTGATCTGGCATGAAGGAACGCTTTCTCTCCCATGAAAAGGACCCTCGGGGTGGCCCAGTTATTTCTCGCCACTGCTTCCTTTCTTCATTTGGCTCGTAGTTCAAATGTTTCGACACTGCTGTGGCGGCCTCAGCAGGCGGGTCGGTCGTCAACCTTCTGCAGCCACTTACAGAAGTCAAGCCCAAGTGCAACCACTCCTTGGGGGTCTGCATGCCGACTTCCTACCACACACCCTGTCAGAACCCTGGGGAGACCAGAAGGAGGAAGTAAAATCACTCACCTTCTCAGCAGAATGGGGGACAGACTCCGGGCCGTGTTCGGGATATCTGAGGTCAAGCAGGCAGGCTGGTGTGGCTGGAGCAGGTGGAGGCAGGGGGAGGAGACGAGGTGGGGAGGTTTTGGGGTGCCAGCCAGAGGGGCCCAGGAGACGAGATGAGGACTTTGTTCTGCATGAGATGGGAGCCACAGGGGTTCTTGCAGAGAAATGACGTGAGTCAGCATGGATCAGGTTGCTGGGTGACCACACCGTGAGGGGTGAGGGCAGACGCTGGAAACCAGGCAGGCATCTGGAACGATCCGGGAGGAAGGTGACAGCACTGGGGCTGAGGAGCGTGGTGAGACGAGTAGATCCTAGGTGTGTTCTGAAGACACAGGTGGCAGAGTGGCTCGTGGCCTGGATGCAGGTGGTGAGCACCAAGTCTGGGGCTCAGGTTTTGTCCCAGCGGCCAGAAGGAAGGAGCTGACACTTAGTGGACATCGGCGTGGGAGCGGGGCTGTCTCACCGGCCAACGCACAACCAGGTGTGCACGTGAGACCACCATCTCCAGGCCTCCCCGTGTCCTTGTCACGGGTGTAACCGCTCACTGTGGAAGAAAACCACGTAAAGCTCCGACAGGACCTGCCGGGCGTTTTCCTGTCGAGAAACAGTCCTGTGGTTCATCCCTTTCTTCTTGGATACGTGCTTTTTCTCACATTCCAGTATTTTTACCTGTAGTTAGTTGTCTACATTCTGAGGTGGTTTCTATTTCTAAAGCAAACTAGAGTGAGTTAACGAGTCTGAAATGGTCAGGGCAGTTTGCAAAATTCCTGGTGAACGGCTCATGTTTGAAAAGTTATTTAGGCACTGCGTTGATCAACCCACTGGTTGTGTAGATAGGCTTGGTTTTGCAGCATTTTTTCAGGAAAATCTTAGGAGGTTCTGTTTCCTCAAAGCACAGCACATGCTTCTCATCCCTGGGCTGTTGGCTGGTGCCTGCCTCTGCCTGGACTTCGCCTGGTCCCTCTGATGGGGCCCAGCCTGGAAAACCATCCGGAGGAACCACGATGCTGCCCGCTGTGGCCGAGAGTCACTGCTACACCCATGGCCAGCGCTGTGGAGGCAGTGACGGTGCCGGCAGAGGCTGGTCTGGGAGCCCGGCAACATCTGGGAGGAGGCGTTTTCCTTCCTGGCTCTTTTGATGCTCAAGACTGAGAGTTTTCTGAGGTCTCCTAAGAGTAGCTGAGCACAGAGCCGGCCATTCCAGTCTCGCTGTTGTAGTCCTTCGGAGGCACACAGCTTTCAGGTCTCATGAGCCCGAACACTCTGGGTGGCTGGGGGAGCCCAGTGTCACGTCCCCGGCAAAGCTGTTTCCTTGTGCCGTCTGCCAGCGCTTGTATTTCTGGTTGTTTCTCCCCCAGCCTGTGACATGCTTCACCTCCAGTTCCCTGTCACATCCTTTTTTGGGTATTGTGGACACTGCCCCCTTCAAAAGGGGGCCGTCTCTTGTTTCCTTTAAGTGTAGGCAGGGTCGGTCCTGATCAGCTCTGAGATGCTTTGGAAAGAAGATGCTGGTGTGGGGGAGGGTGAGCGAGCACGTGTTGAGTGTGTGCCCCTGCATGAGTGCTCATGAGTGTGGAGCTATTTCCTGGGCCCTGGAGCACCCGGTCTAGGAGGAGCTTGGAGCAAGGAGCAACCCTGGTGTGTGAATGTTTAGGAAGAGCCTCGGGAAGACAGAGGCCTGAACGTGGCCCGTCCTGGACGTGGCGTTGTCGGCTGGACTGGAACAGGTGTCTGGAAGAGGAAGAGTGGGAGCTTCAGGGAGGAAGGTCTGTTTGGAGTGATCTGCCAGGCTGACAAGGTTGGAATGTCTTCTGTAGCTAGTGGGCAGAGACTGAGGTCTTGGGCCCGAAGGTGAGGTCATCAGACCCGTGTGGGAACAGTGGGAGGGCGAGTTCCTGGCTAGGGTTGTGGAATAGGAGTGGCGAGGAGGGCACAGTCCTTAGGAGCAGCTTAGAGGCACAGTAAACGGACGGGAAATTGGTCGGGTGTTGGGGCAACTGAACATGGACCCTCCATGGCGACCGCAGGGTTGAGTGAGATCCTGGGAGTGATCTCTGGTGAGAGGGGCTGTGTATGTAGGTCACCTTGAGTTTTACTATGTATTGCACAGCATTGTTTAAAGTGAAGCGGAAAACGTGTCGGCCTGATTCCTGGACATGGTTAGGACTTGGTACAGTGGGGAATTACCTGTATCAGAGTTGGAGCTGGTTAGTTGTGAAGGTGGCGGGCTCGGGTTGGGGGCGAGGAGAGAGCATGTTTGCTTGGCGCTGGAAGGAGGAAGGAGGTCGGCTAAGCAGTGGTGGGGGGGGTTCTAGCAGCCACAGCTGGGAGGGCCTGAGGGCCCAGCGTGGGGTCTGTGCCGTGCGTCCAGTGGAGTAAGCGCGTCTCCCGGCTCTGTTCTAGGTTACCACTACAATGACCTAGTGTCTCCGCAGTACCTGAGTCTCATCGCCAACCTCTCGGGCTGCACGGCCCACCGACGCGTGAATAACTGCTCAGACATGTGCTTCCACCAGAAGTACCGCACACACGACGGCACCTGCAACAACCTGCAGCACCCCATGTGGGGTGCCTCGCTGACCGCCTTCGAGCGCCTGCTGAAGTCCGTGTACGAGAACGGGTTCAACACCCCTCGAGGCATTAACCCCGGCCGGCTGTACCATGGGCACCCGCTCCCCATGCCCCGGCTGGTGTCCACGTCCCTCATTGGCACGGAGGCCATCACGCCCGATGAGCAGTTCACCCACATGCTCATGCAGTGGGGCCAGTTTCTGGACCACGACCTGGACTCCACAGTGGTGGCCTTGAGCCAGGCCCGCTTCTCCGACGGGCAGCACTGCAGCTCCGTGTGCAGCAATGACCCCCCTTGCTTCTCGGTGGCCATTCCCCCCAACGACCCCCGCGTGCGGAGCGGGGCGCGATGCATGTTCTTTGTGCGCTCCAGCCCCGTGTGCGGCAGCGGCATGACCTCGCTCCTCATGAACTCCGTGTACCCCCGGGAGCAGATCAACCAGCTCACCTCCTACATCGACGCATCCAACGTCTACGGGAGCACGGACCACGAGGCCCGTGCCATCAGGGACCTGGCCAGCCACCGGGGGCTCCTGCGGCAGGGCATCGTGCAGCGCTCTGGGAAGCCGCTGCTCCCCTTTGCTGCTGGGCCGCCCACAGAGTGCATGCGGGACGAGAACGAGAGCCCCATCCCATGCTTCCTGGCCGGGGACCACCGTGCCAACGAGCAGCTGGGCCTGACCAGCATGCACACGCTCTGGTTCCGGGAGCACAACCGCGTGGCCGCCGAGCTGCTCTCGCTGAACCCACACTGGGACGGCGACACCATCTACCACGAGGCCAGGAAGATCGTGGGGGCGCAGGTCCAGCACATCACCTACCAGCACTGGCTCCCCAAGGTGCTGGGCGAGGTGGGCATGAAGATGCTGGGCGAGTACCGGGGCTACGAGCCGGGCGTCAATGCCGGCATCTTCAATGCCTTCGCCACGGCCGCCTTCAGGTTCGGCCACACGCTGGTCAACCCCGTGCTCTACCGGCTGGACGAGAACTTCGAGCCCATTGTGCAGGGCCACATCCCCCTACACAAAGCCTTCTTCTCTCCCTTCCGGATCGTGAATGAGGGCGGCATCGACCCGCTCCTCCGAGGCCTGTTCGGCGTGGCAGGGAAGATGCGTGTGCCCTCCCAGCTGTTGAACACAGAGCTCACGGAGCGGCTCTTCTCCATGGCGCACACGGTGGCCCTGGACCTGGCCGCCATCAACATCCAGCGGGGCCGGGACCACGGCATCCCGCCCTACCACGACTACCGTGTGTACTGCAACCTGTCCTCCGCCCACACCTTTGAGGACCTGAAGAATGAAATCAAAAACCCCGAGATCCGGGAGAAACTGAGACGGTGAGTTGGAAGAACTCACCGTGATTTGATGTCTTATGTTTGTATGCGTCAGGTGAGCGAAGAAAGGTGGCCCGCGCGTGGGAGCTGGTGGTGGTTATTTGTCTCATTTGAGTTTTTGTTGGTGCAGCCAGGAGGTCAAATAAGAGAAGCTGATGTAGGTGGAGTCTGAGCCAGGACGGCCTGCAGCCAGGAGACCCCTTTGGTGGCTGTTTTGGTTCAAGGGGGAGGGACAGGGCCAGGGGTGCAGGTGATCACAGGCACATGTGCAATGAGTTTCGAGCTGAGATGAGAGTCCTGGCGGGGGCCTCACGGGAGGGAGAGGGGCAGGATCTGCACGGGAAATCCTCAGGCCTGAGATTGGGTCTGTGGGGCCTCGAGGAAGAGACCCAGCTCTGTGTCAGGAGCAGGGAGCAGCAGAGCCTGGCACCAGCAGAATGGGGCCGTGAGCCACCAGCGCCTGAGACTTTGGCTCACAGCCCACCCCGAACTCACTCAGACGCCCAGCCCAGGCCGGCGGCCACGTCCCAGACACCACGGCTGACAAGTTCGGGGCTTCTGTGCAGGCTTCGGAGCAGCAGCTTCAGTCCGTCCTGGGAGCAGATCTCACTGGCCTGCGGGGATGGAGCTGTGAGGAGGCCAGGCGACAGGCCGTCAGCCCAGAGGACAGGACTCGCACTGGGCGGGTCAGGGCCCCCAGGGGACCACTGGGGCAGCCCCTTCCCTTCACAGAGAGACAGAGACCGCAGCACTGCCCCGTCAGTCATTATGGGCCTCCATCCGATAGGGATCAGGGTCTGGTTAGGATCGGGGCTTCTCAGCCGACACCAGTCTCCTTCTTGGACCTCTGTGTTCGGATGGCTAATTAGATGTAAAGTTCTCCAAAGTGGAGAGTCTCAGCCCCTCTTGTCTCTTCTAGTGTGTCATCTGCGTGTTTCTCATTAACTTCTTTCTTCCTGTCATTTATTCCAATTTCTTTGATCCAGTCTTTCATGGAAATAATCGATCACTCATTAAGAGTTTTTCCTTAATGAACCTTCTTAGTCCTTGCACTCAAGAATTAAGTCCACAGCTCACTGTGTATTTAAGATCTATTCATTCGCATTTGAAAGAGTTGTTTTAAAAAGAAAAAAAGGCTTTCTTCTTAAGACTCACTTTGCATATTTTCTAGACTCCAGTTCACTGAAGAGTAAACTACTTACTAAGTTACTCACTTAGCACTGAAGTTAAGACCTCCTCTAATTAGGATCCAACCTCTGCCTTCCAGAGAAAAACGACTTCTACTTGTCACTTATTGCTTTATGAGTGAATGAACGCCATGTCTTCCTGAGTTTAGCGTGTTCCACTGTTTGTTTAGATAATGGTATTTGGTTGCTGGTGTGTGTAAGTGTGCTCCTCCACTGGTACAATGACTTTCTTGTCACCGTTTGCCGAATTAGGATTTATGTGAACTGTCTATGTTTTTGTGCTTGAACATCCTCCTTTCTTCTTGTCCAGACCAACATGGATCACTTTCCCAGCATTTCTCTCTTTTGCCAAACTTATTTCAAAGCAATTCAGAGGAGCCAGCACTCCGACCTGGTGCTGCTGGCGGGTTGAGGGGCCACACCTGGTGTGCTAGAGACCCCGGAAGAGGAATCCAGCATTATCCGTCACATACCGGGTCACTCGTTTCCCACGCCAGCCGTTACCGAGCACGTGGGGAAATGAGACACAGACGCAAGACTCATCCCTGTGCCAGTGCCCAGGGGAAGAGGGTCTCCTGCTCAGACTAATGAAGCACGTAGTCACATCCATTTTATTGGCACCTAACACAATCTGCTTTTTATTTCAAGGAGCACAGTGAGGGGAAGGGAATAGGACCTGGCCTGGGTGGGAGGCGCTGCAGCTGGCTGTCCCCTTCTGGGAAGAAGCTCCTTGCTTCAATCCTGTATCTCCGTCCCCAAGTGCCTGAGCAGTGTGGTCACTGAGCCAGTGCTGGTGGATCACTCCGGAGGGGAGTGGGGCAGAAAGAGAGGAGGACTCACCCCAGGACGGGCGTTTCCTTCAGGGAAAGCCCAAGGGCGCTTCTGAGAGGCCTGCCCCGGGCCCCGCTCGTCAGGGAACCACCCGCACTTGTGGGGTTCTTTCTGACTGTATTTCCATCCAAGCAGAAATTCAGTGTGAAGGTCATTGAACTTGGAGAAGATGAGCACAATTTATCCTTCTCTGAAGGCCTAAACGCTAGTTTCAACAGCATTGCACTCCTGCTTGTAGGACGTGCTGTCTTGGTCAGTGAGCGTCTCTAATCCCAGCTTCTTGCGGAGGGCGGTCTCAATGACAGAACACATTTGGAAAATCTAGTTGAACTTCGAATCGCAATTGAAATTAAGCCGTTGTGTTGTCTAGTAGACTTCTTGGGAGAATATAAGAGATTAGATAGGAGTGATTTGTAGTAGAAGTTGTCAGCTCTTTGTTTGTAAGCTTACTCTTCTAAGGAACTGGAAGGATTTGACAAAAATACTCATTCTTGAACATTTAAACATTGCTACATCTTAGTCTTTTGTACTCATTCTGCTTAGTAAATATTTTCTTTAGAGCAAATACATTTTCAATCCCAGTAGAATCCCGGTATTATTCTTTTAAAAATGTGTCTTAAGCTATATATAGTTTATTGTTCATATATATTTATGGAAAAAGTATACACTATGCTGTCAAGTGTGGTTATCTCTGAATAGTGAGAAACGGAATGGTTTTAGTTTCCTGGCTTCTCTAAACTTCTTATAGTAAGTGTGTGTGTGCGCGTGCACGCGCGCATGTGTTTATACATGTATATATGGACAGAAAGTAGGGAAAATTCTTGGAAACACAACGGATAGATGTTTTAAAGAAGGTTAGATGAATTTTCTTCGTATTTTTTTCATGTTTGCTGTGTTCTTTACCAGATTCAGCTTCGTTGAGTAAATTTAAGATTTCGCCTTGGCTTTCTGTAGGTTATATGGCTCCCCACTCAACATCGACTTGTTCCCAGCCCTCATGGTGGAGGACTTGGTCCCTGGCAGCCGCCTGGGGCCCACCCTGATGTGTCTGCTGAGCACTCAGTTCAAGCGCTTACGGGATGGGGACAGGTAAGCACAGACGCCCCGGGGAAGAGAGTCTGTTTGGGGACTCAGAGAAGAGGGGAGCCATTGGTGGTGGCTCTGTGTCCATGCTGAGAATGAGGAAAGTGTCTTCACGCCCGTGGTGTTTGTGAGCAACTCCCTGCCTGCTGAGTTTGCCTGTGACAGCAGCATTAGCGTGACCCATAACCCAGTTCAAAGAGACTGTTATGTCCCTTCACTTAAGAGTGTCTCTGTTCCTAGAAACGGACAATCCATACACTAACCCGCAGTGGGGTTTAGAGGAGTGTGAACTTCTGGCAGGATTTTAAAGTTCAGGTTTAGGGTAATGTTATGAGTTTAGTTAACATATTGGAAGGCGGTCACCATCTATTACTAAGTAATTCAGCAGGTGGCCACGGGCCATGCCAGTGTTTCTAAAAATCAGCCTGTGCTGGTCCGTCAGAGGAGCTAATTGTCTGCGATTTTTCATCCAGATTGTTTTGGTTTTGTTTTTTGAGTAGGAAATATAAGAAACGTTTGAGTCTGTTTTTAACGTGATACGTAATTGAAGCCAGTGATGTCTGTGCTGTTGGTGAAACTGAGTAGAGCAATATTTTAATCCAATTCCCTGTGGCCTTTGAATCTCTGTGTTTTCTCTGATCTTGTTCTCATTCTGGGGAACACAGGTTGTGGTATGAAAACCCGGGGGTGTTCTCCCCCGCCCAGCTGACACAGATCAAGCAGACGTCCCTGGCCAGGATACTGTGTGACAATTCAGATAACATCACGCGTGTGCAGAGGGATGTGTTCAGAGTGGCGGAGTTCCCCCACGGGTACGGCAGCTGTGACGAGATCCCCAGAGTGGACCTCCGCGTGTGGCAGGACTGCTGTGAAGGTGTGCATGTCAGGTGACCCCCTACTTCTCACGTAATGTGTTTTCCTCGTTCACTGCTAGTTTTGGTGAAAGCCTAATGCACACTAAAGCACTTACAGGTGCCATCGTAATAGTGAAAACAGGCAAAATATGCGTGTGTGAAGGATTTGTTAAATTATGGTGTATCCACACGGAGGAACACTCTGGAACCTAAAAAATACAAGTCACGATGTTGAGGAATTTGTAATGACTGGGTGTAGTATTTAGTATGATAACTAAAATACTAAGTATAAGAAGTAGAAGCCAGAACTTTAATGAGGTGTGCTCCTAGTTTTTCTTGAAAACTTAATATATGTCTAAATATGAGTACCTGAGTGGTAGCCTATATCTCTACTCACAGACAAAGGGTGGAAAAGAAACATGTTGAAGAAGCACATCAAACATCAAATTTGATTTTTAAAAATGTATGCTGTTGGGTCCCAGCCGAGTGGCATAGTGGTTAAGTTTGCATGCTCCACTTTGGCAGCCCAGGGTTCACAGGTTTGGATCCCAGGCACAGACCTGTGCACTGCTTACCAAGCCGTGCTGTGGCAGGTGTGTCCCACATATAAAGTAGAGGAAGATGGGCACAGATGTTAGCCCAGGGCCAATCTTCCTCAGCAAAAAGAGGAGGATTGGCAACAGATGTTAGGTCAGGGCTAATCTTCCTCACCAAAAAAAAAAAAAAAAAAAGTATGTTGTGTTCTAAAAGTCCACAATCTGACATACCCAGAGAAAGCTGTAGTAAAATACCCTCTGAAGAGGTGAGAAATGTCCCCAGGTGTGGGGGGGGCCTCAGCAAGGATTTGGAAGCCCCATAAAAGTGGGGAGGGGCTGCTCATCCTGTCAGCAAGGGGGAGGGTGCGGGGGCGGTTTGGGGTTTGCCCCTGCCCTCACACTGCAGCCCCTCCTCTGCATTCCAGAATCCCGCTCGTGGTCAACCTCAGTTTTCCTTTTGTGGTTGGAATGTAATTTTGGCTTTATTCACACTGTGATCAGAGACCCATGGAATATTAAAGCTGGAGGAACGTTTAGGACCCATGCTGTGTGATCTTGCTTTTCTGTGGTGAGGAAGATGGGGCCACGAGCATGCAGGGAGCCGCACAGGCCACACGGAGCCCTGGTCCCACGTCCCTCGTGCAGTGCTCTCCATGCCCTGTGTGCATGTGGACACTTGCAGTGAAGAAACTAGAGTTGTCTTTTCTTCCACCTCTGTCTTCCTGCAGAAATAGTTCTGGTCGGGCTGCTGCTCTTGTTTGTAGTTAATTTCGATTAGCTGTTATTTTCAATAGTGAGTATTGAAATCTGGGTTGATATGCTAGAGCTGTTTTTAACAGCTTCTGTGTGTGTGTGTGTGTGTGGTCTGATTTTGTGACTGCCTCCATCTGTCTGCGTGCTCTCTCCTTTCCCTCTCTGTGTGTGTATATTTATATTATATATATAGTGTGTAATATGATGTAAATATATGTATAACAAAACGTGATTTGTAATATTGTGAGAGAATCCACGTAAAAATTAAAACTGTGCTCGCCATGTACCCAATTTCTCAAAGTATTTACATTCTCATTCTTATGTCTATTAAAAACTTGTGTTGTTTTGTTTTAGCTTTTTTAAATATATGTTTTGACTGGTTTATCCAGCTCAAAGTGCTTTTCCACAAGTATGGCAGAGAATTTGATTCTTGTGTTTGCAGAAAATTGTTCTCCTTGAAAACCATTGGGAAAAGCCAATTCTTCTCAGATGAGAAAACCTCACTTTCTGACAACTTTACCAGGTTTCCTGTAGCTGCAGAGGAAGGAGCAGGGCCAAGTTTTCTGTTCTTTTGCTCAGAAAATCCAGGGTCCTTGGAGAGGCTGCCTCTTGGAGCCAGCTCTGTCCTCCGTCCTGTCGCGAGCCCGTTGCTACTGTCATCTGGACCTTGGAGAAATTTGACTCCTTGGAGCGACTGCTGACACCCTTTCTTCCAGATGCTTCTCCTCTTAAAATAGCAGGCATGGCCCCAAGCTGACAAAACCTAAAGAATGCTTTGTAAGATTTACCGGTTTTTATTTTAGCCCAAAAGCCATATCTAAAAAATAGCAGGAAAAAAAAAAAAGAATTAAGTTTTGGCAGGACCAAATGTCGATTGCTATTTACTTTTCAATTCAACTTTCATAAAAGACTCGTGAAGCACCTTCCACGAGCCGTGCCTCCTGATCGCGTCAGTGTCTCTTTCATCCAGCTATGAACCTATGCATAGGAGAAGCCGGAGGAGCGGCTGCTGGGGATCAGCCTCTGTTTCGTCTGATCAAAGTTAGGGATTTCAGCTTCTCTGTGGACGCTGCTGAGTCACGGGGAAGAAGACACGCAGACACAATTGTGAAATAATTGCAGAAATTATTGAAATATTACAAAAAACATTTCTGCACTTCACTCAGATTCATGAATTCTTAGCATTTTGCCATATATGACTCACCATTCTCTCTCTTTAAAATTTATCTATATATTTATTTTTTATAAATATATTTTTATAAATATATAAATATAGGTGTAATTGACCTATATGATACTAGTTTCAGGTGTACAACATTATGATTCGATATTGCGACATGATCACCACAAGTCTGGTTAATATCCGGATTCTCTCTCTTCTTTATATATGTGCGTGTATATATGCATATGTGTATGTGTGTATGTATAAGCAGGTGTGTATGTGTGTATGTATAAGCGTGTGCAGAAGTGTGTGTATAAGCGCGTGTATACGTGGGTATACATAAGCGTGTGTATACGTGTGTGTATATAAAATACATTTTCTCTCTAAACTAGTCGAGGAAGTTGCCGACACCATGCCACTTACCCTAAGTAATTTGCTTGAGGGTATACCTGATCAACGTTGGGTAATTTAGCATTGATGAAATATTATTGTCTAATTTCTAGGCCCTATTCAAATCTTGTCATCGGTTCCACAATGTCCTTGTATATTTCTGTGCGTCCTAATTGGGGGCTTTGCCCAGGGTTCTGGATTGCTCTGGGTCTGCCTTTGTTTCGCTCCCTCGTGTAGAACCTCTCCCGTCGTGGGTTGTCAGATGTTCTCAGATTAGATCCTGGTCCTGCCTTTGAGGGGTTCTGACGCTCTATACAGCAGAGTTGTGTTCTTCTCAGGGCGTCCTTAGAAGGAGGTGATGTCACTTGTCCCATTCTTGGTGACGTTGACTAGGGTTACGTGGCTAGAATGTGATGTTCGTGTTTACCCAAAGAGGGGGGCTGTGAAGATGAGAATGTTCTCCGAGTTGGGAAGTGAAACATTTTTCCTCTCTCAAAATGAAAGGAAAGGGTTACTGCAACCCTAAAAGGCACCTGGGCTGCAAGGTTGTCAGGCTTGCTGGGACCGGTGCTGTTTCTTGAGCACAACTGGGCACCCGCCCGTGATGGGATCTCAGCTACAGTCGCTGTGTGTCCTCTGCTGGCACGGGATTATCCCAAGGTGCGCTGTGAGCCCGGTGCGTTCACACGCAAATGTGTCACCGTGGGTAGAGCATTGTGAGATGGATCCAGGTTTGAATCGGAAGCTGATTGGTTAGCTGCTGAAGGAAATCACAGAACATGCAGAGGAATTGTCCCTGGGTTTTGTCGCCTGGGCAGGGGGGCTGTAGGTCGCCATCCGGAAGACAGTAGTCATGGAAAAGCTGGACCAGACAGTGGCCGCAGCCCCTCACGGGGAGGAGAGTGAGCACAGCTATTGGCTTTAGGTTATTCTTCCTGTGTTTTTCTCTTGTGGGATTTCCAGTCCAGTGGCTGCAAGAGATTCAGAATTTGAAAAGGGCCGTATGTGGCCTCTGCTCCATCCCCGGCCAGGCCTGTCCTGGGCTCCGGCCTGGGCAGACGAGGCAGGGGCAGAAGGAGACCCCTTTGCTTTGTGGGGTGGTGTGCTGCGTCCCAGGGGCACCTCACTGCCCAGGGCACTGAGAGGAGCAGGACCGGGGCCCGGGATGCAGGGAGCGAGGGTGCGTGGTAAGGTGCTCCAGAGCGTAGCGTGACCTGGCTGGGGAAGGAGGTGACACCCCAGGCGTGAACATGCAGGGCCCGGGCCGAGCGCTCGGCCTCTGTGTGGCAGCGGGAAACCTGTGCAGGTTGAGAGAACGGGTGGTGCCATGTGTCACCTGGAGGAGGGTGTCCCGAGGGGCTGGCGGTTGTCAGAGAGGCCGGGCGAGGTCAGGAGGGCTCCAGGCACGGGGAGGACAAGGCCTGGCTCTTGGGAACAGGAGGGCAAAGCCCGAGATGGGCTCACACGTGGGGGGACGAGGTCCGTGCGGGTGGCACCACCACTGTCCCACCGTCCTCCGTGAAGCCTCACGATTTGTGTCATAGACATGCGGGAAAGACTGTTGATATTTGCCAAGAGGTGCTTCATTTCTCCTAGAGTTAGAGTCCTCAACAGCTGACAGGCCCTTTTACGCTTTCACTTAGACTGCAGGACCAGGGGACAGTTCAACGCCTTCTCCTACCATTTCCGAGGCAAGCGGTCCCTGGAATTCAGCTACGAGGAGGATGAGCCTGCCAAGAAAGCCCGACCTGGGAAGACTCTGAGGTACGGCCGTCCGTCTCCGCAGGTAGACTGTGTCCCCTGCGGGCTGGGCCACTCGGTGCGTACTGTCCTGGACGGGACACACGCACTGGGCGGATGTGGTTGACCTTGTGTGAGTGACGGGGCCGTTACTTGCTGAGGTCGTGTTTGTTTCTGCCCCTTCCTCCCCTCGTGCAGCATTGAGAAACACAGCCAGCGTCCCAGCAACACCACGTCCGCCTCCTCTGAGCACCCACAAGTTCCAGGGACGAACGACTTCAAGGACTTTGTTCTGGAAATGCAGAAGACCATCACAGACCTCAGAAAACAGGTACGGGCGGCTCCGAGCCCCGTCCTCACTGTCAGCAGCCTTTGTCTCTCCACGTGTCACACAGCCTGCATTTCTCGCTTGACTGTGAAGGTGTGCATTTCCCCTGACACCCAGGGTCCTGAGTCCTGGAGCCTGAGAAGGTCACTTTTTCTGCTTGGTTCTTTTATTTGGCTTCTCTCTGGCCGGGCCACGTTGAGCTGTCCTTGGGTTTCCCATCAATCGGGGACCCTCAGCCGGGGACTGTGGGTGTGGAGAGTCTCCCAGCTGTCCCCGGGGGACCTTGGCTGGAGCTGCCGCCAAGATCACAGGCCGTGAGCAATGAAGGAGAATTCAAGCCTCAGGTCCTGTTCCGAAGCCACTTGTTTCAGGGATGAGGGTTATTAGATCACTGTTCCCAGGGAGGGGCAGGTGATGTTGAGGCAAGTCCCTCTGGATGTGGGGAAGGGCGGTAGATGCTGGAGGCTGACCTGCAGGACATCGGGTGGCTCCTGTGCTGGGCTCTTCAGGGGTGGCTGCCAGGTTTGCAAGAAATGAGTGTGCTCCCCTCCTCGCCCAAGGAACTTATTTCTGCCTTTCCCTGACTCTGTACTGGGGTCCTCGCTGTGATTTATGTACGGGAGTGCAGACTGAGATCTTAGGTTAATAAGGAGTGTTAGCAGTAGCGACAGGGATTCCTGCTGCTGTGGAAGTTTCCAGAGAAGAGCTTGTGAGTGGTGATCTTGTGACGCAGTCCCACACCTACTCACGGGATCCTTAGTCCTCAGTCCTCAGGCTCGGAAGACTTGGGTATCTTCTGGCCCAGCCACATGGAGAGGTGTTCCCACTCCGTCTACCTCTGCCCTCGGGGATAGACGTGGGGGTCCTTCTCCTGCCTCTGCGGTCAGGCGTGATTTCACAGGCTGCGGGTGTCAACAGCGGAGAAGATTCAGTCCCCCAGCAGACGGAAGGGGCAGGAGGGGGCACCGGGCAGCGTCCGGGCACCAGGAAAGGAACCCTTGCCACCTGGAGCAGGAGAGACAAACCCAGCAGATCTTAGGGGGCTGTGATTGGCACAGGGTGTCCAGGGGGCCCAGCCCGGGGTGCGTGGGTGCTGTGAGTCCCGAGGTTCAGCTGAATGGGACAGAAAACCCACATGAGGAAGGTTTAGATAAGGTGAAGTTTCCTTTTCTCTCACGGAATCTGGAGGGAGATGGCCAGGCTGCTGGACCCTCCACGGTGAGAGACCCAGGGATTTCTGGCCACCGCCACCCAGTCAGCCCCACAGCGAGAGGGAGGAGGAAGGGCTCCCCCACGCGGGGAAGACCTGGTGTCGGGGATGGTTCGCCCACCACTGTCCGTCGTCCCTTTGAAAATCTCAGTACGGAGTGTTCCCTCCTCTGGGTGGTTCCCGCTCACAGGCCGTGAGGACATCTCCTCTGATTGTTTCCAAGGTGTCCCTTCTTCTGTTTGAACAACCACGATGGACGGTACGTGCACGTCTGAGGTGAGGTCAGGCGGTTGTCAGTGTTGTGGAGCTTTTGGACAGACAGCCGTCAGCTGTCCGATGAGTGAACCTGAGATCCCATGGAAGTTCTTCAGAGACGTCCGTCTCCATCCCTGTTTATCTCGCGGCGGGATTTCACCCGCAGGAACAGGTGTAGCTCCAGAGCTAAACTCTTCCTCTGGCATGACCAGTGCCCATGTTTGCTTTGCTGCAGATAAAGAGACTGGAGTCTCGGCTCAGTCCCTCGGAGTGCACGGACACAGACGGCGAGCCTCACGCTGACGGTGCAGGGTGGAGACAGGATGCGTGCACCGTCTGTGCATGCCGTGTGAGTGTGGGCTCTCCTCGGGGACCCCGGGGCAGGGGCTCAGCCTTCTGTGCGTGCCGTGTGAGTGTGGGCTCTGCTCGGGGACCCCAGGGCAGGGGCTCAGCCGTCTGTGCATGCCGTGTGAGCGTGGGCTCTGCTCGGGGACCCCAGGGCAGGGGCTCAGCC